ACCTCGGGATTCCAGGAAACGACAATGGCTTAACCAGCAAATCACCGAAAAAATGGTGATTGTGCTGGTGCCCGCACAACCAGTGAGGACGGGCCGTTCAAGTATCACAAGTATCAAGTAAGTAACGTCAGAAATAGAACAAGCTTGATTGGTGGTAGCATGTAGAGGTAGAAGAGTAAAAGGAAGAAATTCTTGAAGAATCAATTGTTCTGTCAGCAAAGTCAGAATTGGTAGAAAACTCGTTATTATTAACGACAGCAAGCGAAAAGTGTTGATGTATTTATCTAATCATCGAACGAATTTTCTGACTAGTTTAAAGTTATCGGATTAGTGATATGGTAACTAAGATGTTCAACAACACTATCAGCACCACTTTTTTAAACTGGAAGAATTCGGCTTGCGTTGCTCGACTGCTGCAAAATTTTGTTGCGTGAAGGCGAACGTGAAGCTGAACGTGAACGCTCTTCTAAGAGAACATCAGAGAAGACGCCTTATTCTACTAGTGGCAACGGCCATTACTGTCTAGTTTAATGCTAGTACTATCAATATTCGATCTTGCTGAAGAAGGACCTGCCATCAAAAAAGTTACTGGTTTTTAGAAGAGAGGCTGGAATGTGTCATAAAAACCGTTGGCAAGAGACTGTACACTTAGTTTGCAACGGAAAGGAACCCGTGTATAACCGGTTCTACACGTGCTCGTAGACAAGATAAACATACTTTTGAATCCCGCACATTCGAACAATTCGTCATTTTCTTCTTCAGTTTCGGGACGGAAATACGGATGCTCCTCGGAAGGGATAACTAGTAAGGATTATTAGTGACGCCATAATTAATGAGTTATGTGAACACTTGACCTGAGGCATGGGTGGGTCTTCATGGGATGAACTATCTGGCTTTGCTACATCGGATCGCCTTTGTTCATTCTTGTTCACGTAGCCATACAGGCATCCTTGTTGCGAGTTTATGTCGATTTGGTGGGTGTCTTGTAATAGATTGACAGAGAAATAGATGGGATTTGGTTCGGAGTCATCTACAATCACCACACCTTTGTATAGTTTTTGCTTTCGTCCTCATTCTATAGTAGATCGAAATACTGGATCGTTAATGGGAACACAGAAGGGGTCCATGTGATGAATAGAAAGTGCATTATATGTAAAGAGTGATCATTTGTTTGAAGAGATCATAAAATTCCCAGCAATGTGACGGGCATTTAAAGAGTTGCTCGAAGCTTTCCAAGTTTTTTTAGTTGCAGAAAATTCTGGACATAAAGAGACATGACCGTCTTATCAGTCTTGATGATCTCTGATTAGGAAGTGATAGTGACAATATCTTAAAACCGACATTCATCAAACATCGGTGGCAGTAATCAATAACTTTTTTACATGATTGAGCTGACGCGAGGTTGGTGTAAAAGTTATATTCGCCTAAGGTTTCGGGGCTTTCGGTTTCCTCAGGCCGGCGTCGGTTCAGACTGACGGCCCACTGCCGTCGCGAGGTAGGTGTCCGTTGTCGCGCCGAGTCCCGTGGAGTGAGAACACCTTTCGAATGGTAAACTTCATTCGGCCGTGTCCTTTTATAGAGGATAGATATCGGGTCGCAAGAGGAAAGCGAAAGCGCGAAACGTTAGCTGAACAAAATCATTATACCTACCTCGCATCAGCCCAATCATGTGAACAAGTTATTGGCTGTTGTTACCGAAGTTTAGTGAAAGTCGGTTTTAAGATTTTACCACTGTCAATAAATGAAGTACCGGCTGCTACAAGACGCATTGCCTGCCGAATTGACGATAATATTGGTTGACGCGAATCGACCGGCATCCGTCCTCCATGAAAGGGTACCGCCCAGTGAAGTTCCTCATTCGATCATTCTCAAACTCCGTTAGATTCGACACAATGCGACAACGGTCACCCATCTCGTGTAGCTGACCAATTGTGGACCATGAACGGGGATCAACGCGGCTCTGGTAAAGGCGAAGCGAAAGTGCCGGGTAGTTCGCCGAATAATACTTTTATATCAACTTCGCGTCAGTTCAGTTATGTAAAAAAGTTTTTGATAACCTGTAAGTTTTTTTCTTGACGTGGAATATTTGTTTCTTTGCCTTCATGTTTCATCTTTTTCATAATCTTTCATTACTGCGATTGCATTTTTCCCCGTTTGACCAAAATCCTTTCTCAAATTGAATGATTTTGAAGATTTTTTCCGAATGACTTAATGTTTCTGCCTTTTCAGTCATTAATAGTGAATGTGCTACGGTATCACTAGAGCTCATTGTTAATGCATATCTTTTGTTCTGTTTGAGTATATTCCCTTTTCTTTCCATTTTGTGGTGCCACATTTTTCACCATCTAAATCGATGCCGGTTGTGAGAGGGAATGGTTTCAGGCCGTTTTTGCAGGTCTCAATATCGTCATCAATCACTCAGTCATTGGTCGTGCATTTCATCTACTGCCTGTGATTGTAAACAGGCATCTACTTTACACATTGGTATTCGATCGGAATTTCTTTTCTGAGTCATTCGCTTCATCGATTTTTACCGACTTATCCATGTTATTTCGTTTATTCAAAAGTATGATAGATCAGACAAAGACTAAACTTGCATCGTTGTTTCAATCAGTTTCGTTAAATTTTTAACCCATTGACTTCCGTCAGAGTTATTCTTTAACAGTCTCGCCTTTAGAACAACTGGCGATGTTCGTCCAATTTATTGGAAATTACTTGCTTGAAAATTTGCATCCTGCACACTCCAGGACAATTTCCCCTCGGGTGGTATTTGGCTGACTGGGCTAGGATTTGTTTCTCTCGATTCTCTAGTGACTGTATGCTTTTCAGCATGGCAGTGATTACTCTCTTTGGTTTACTCTTAGTTGTGCTCTCCGTTAGAACTGCCAATCTTCTTTCCAACTTGAGAAACCGTGCTGACTAATGAGCTCCCATAGCACATGGCAGTTCGTCACCAAGAAAGCCCCATTGCCGCGCTGAGGAGGTGAACCTTGGTGAGATGAGAAATTTCATGGGGTTAATACGTTAAGCTGTGGTCTAATGTCGTACGGGCGAAGGTAGGGCTGCATGACGAGACGGAGCTGTCATAGCGGCAAGTTGCACTTCATTAAACTGTGCCTGTCGTTTCATTTTTCTTCTAAATAACCTCTATACTTCGTGCTTTATGATTATTCGTTAACACATCACTCCGTCTCTAATAGGTGTGCTAATATGTTAAATTTGCACCATAACTTGTTCATGGTGTCGTTCAAATGTTTGTTCTTCACCCCTTTTGTGTGTGGTTTCATAATGTTTTCTCTGAAGTCATTATACTTCTTTCGTCTTATTGCTACGTTGTGGCTCCTTAGTCTGGCTAAGACAAGTTACCCTACAATGGGTTATACTACTATTTTCGAGTTATTCGCAGCAATAGGATCATCTCTTGACGCTTGAATTCATATATTCAAAATTCTTGGCTCTTCGTTTTTCTGCTGCGGTGGATTGCAAAGTTGTCGTCATTGACTACTTCCACGGGATGTTAAACAGATAACAGGAACATCATCGATCTAATGTTCAGGATCCTTCATGAAGACTACTAGCGAAAGTTAGTCATCCCGCTTCTATAAGATGCAGAATCCATCCTGCAACGTTTATGTGGATAATTGTAGAGGCAAATGAAGACTTTATTTATGCTAACTAATGATTGATGAGATTACAACTGAAACATACATCGCATTTCTGTATCTCTGGCATGTGTACATACATGTATATATATATATATATATATATATATGTGTGCATGTGTGCATGAGAGATGCGTGCACATTTCGATTTATCCACACTATACATGTGTTTTCACTTAACCATCTCTCTCTTCCTCTTTCCGCACTCTTTCTCTCTCTGTTTATGTGATTATTGCTACTACTGTTCAGTTCAATCCAGTTCATTGTTTATGACGAATATTTGCTATGATAACGAACATAACCTTAATAGAAGATGATTTTCCGCACTCATGTTTACTTGATAAACAGCTACCTTTCTTGTTTTAACACAAACACACAACCTTCTTGCTATCCCCTTATTGCCTTGACTCTTTCCTTTTTTTGTGCTGGTTTTATTTAATACTTGTTTTTAATGTTTTGAAGCTTGATGTGGACAAACTTACTGGTCCTGTGGTCTAAAGTTTTTCACTCTCGATATTCGTGAGGATTTTTGTGGGTTCCTTTGCACTGAGTTTCTATTTTCTTGTTGTGAAATGTGCTCTCGATGACGCACCATATTGATCGGATGTTCAACTCCTTCAACTTAGTCTTCTTTGTCAACTTTAAAATTTATGTCTTATTACACGATATGGTCATTTCTATCTTTCACCATCGGCCAGTCAAGTATTTGCAGAAATTGCTATCATTCTGGAGGAATCCTTATCAAAATGTAGCAAATTTCCTTATGGTCCATATGGTTCGGTGACTGACTGTTTTGAAGATCTGTTGTTATCTTAGCAGCGCTACCTTGGTAACCCATAGAAACGACTCGCAACCAACATTCAACATATCAGTGAAGTGAAATGGCAGTACATCTTGAAGAAACAGCAAAACATCAGGTAGAGGTACTCTGGATAGACGACATTTCAGAGATTACGAAACAATTTTAACTTATTGTTTGCCGCCTACTCTTTTTAATGGCAGGGTATATGGCGAAATATAACTTCAATGATGCTGAGATATTTGCACAACTCCGGACCGCAGATGTCTGCGGTGAGGAACGAACGCGCTATTGTCCTTTCCGGGGAATAACGCGTTCACTACCAAACTATGCTGGTCTTCCGTTTCGCCTGTCTCTCAGCTAGAAACGAAGGACCCGCATGGTGTGGTGGTAAATGCGTTACTCCCCGGAAAGGACAGTAGCGCATTCGTTCCCCACCACAGACACCTGAGATCCGGAATTTTGCAAATACCACGAAACAAATAGAAAAAGTACTAGGACACGTATGACAGGATAAACGAATCGTATTGGTACCGTAAATGGAATCTCCTGTTGAGGACACAGTGGTATGCGTCAAATTCTTCGTTTTTCATTGGTACTGAGATGGGATAACTAACGCCGCGAAGAACGAAATTCGAAAGCGTATGTGTTTCGAGCAGAATCACCGAAAATTGGTGCAAAAACTGGCCCACTGGATAGTTATAGGATCGTTCATACGTTCACAATAGTAATAAAGAGCTTTCAGTGTGTACACTGTCGAAAATTACTACGATGTCAGTTTTAGACACGTGTTGTTCGGCATACAGAGAGCTTTATTGAATGTGAAAAAGGCATTAGGCTCTCTGGATTTTTACCAGCATGAAACGTTTGAGAAAACGAAAACATGAGTTCCTCATTGTGCTACAGTGAAATTTTGTTCTTCTGAAACAAAGAAATCTTTTGTTCTTATTCTTTTTGTCGAGACTTAACTTGTGAATCAGAGTGACTGAAGGAGCGAGAGCTTGTCCAAGAGAAAAGGATGTTAGCTTCAAATTCGAAATCCGATATTAGACAACTGTTCAAAGGTTTTCTGGAGGCTTCGAAAAATGCTATTGGAGGAGACATTGAGCTTCTGTGTTTTTGATGACGGCTATACGGCTAAAATGAGTTATATAGTCGAAGTCAGCCTTTGTGAATCATTTTCTTTCCAGTATCTCGTTCTTACTTCCTTCGTTGTCATCATCATTGTCAGCTGGATGTGTTTGAAAGGGTCATCATGTATGAATATGAATGCATGAATTTTCCGCTTTACTCTCATCTCTTAATAAAATGCTCAACAACATCGCTCTCATCTTTTCATTTGTCCTTAAAGGTCTATTATTACCGACTTCGAGCACGAGTGCTTTTTTCACGAGGGACTTGTTTTTTAAAGGTTTTTTTCGTGCATTTATGAACTACCAGAAACTAAGTTTGTGCTTTGCTTTCATTTGAAGCACTGGAGAGAGAGATGGATGGCGCTCAGTTTTTCGAAATCTTTCGTTTCATAGTCTTAACCTGTATATTTATTGCCTATTCTTTTTAACGGCAGGGTATTTTGCGAAATATAACTACTATAATGCTGAGATATTTGAAAAACTCCCGACCACAGGTGTTTGTGGTGGGGAACGAACGCGCTATTGTCCTTTCTGGGGAGTAACGCGTTCACCACCACACCATGCGGGTCCTTCGTTTCGCCTGTCTCTCAGCTCCGAAGTTTTGCAAATATCTCACCATTGTAGTAGTTATCTTTCGTTTCAGTTTTCGAAATTGTGCTTAATAAGGTTTTTTTGTCCAAGATTTACTCTCATCGATCCTGGTTCATCGAAGTTTTCTTCCATTCTGCTCCGTTCATCATCGCGTCATGTTCTCACACTTTCTCACGGTTTTCTGATAATTCTATGTTCTATCCTTTACTTGTTCGTGATTTATTGCCCCCTTCTCCGATGGGCATTCATTTTCTAATCTCTCATTGTTGTTTTCCGTTTGTTATCGTCTTTTCAATTCAGTTGTAACTGTTTTTTTTCTATTGTATTGGTTGGCCATCTGTCTAACCCAGCAGGCCGAGACCATCGTCAGGAATCCTAGTACCATGTGCTTTCTTTTAAAAATTGAAAAATTGGAGACGCTCTTCGTACTGATTATTTCAGGTCTCATCTGCCGAGAACACTGAGAAATCCGTAGCGATGAGTTTCATGGTGTGTTTTGATGAGATCCATTATTTTTATTTTTTGAAAATACTTTATCTTTAGTAGTTCTCAATCTTAAAGTGATGTTAAATTAGCAGTGATTGCGACTACTGGCTGGATTACGTATTTGTTATGATTAAGTTTCAGCGGATAGTACTGGACCTTAAGAGATACTTCTGTCTGCACAAAATCGGATATTCGGCAGTGTTCCGATATTTCTTAAGCATGAGATGGCATATTTTCAGCAAGGGGTTAAAGACACCGTTTCATCAGCTGCCGATCAACTCGGCAACGTTTTGGAACAAGCTGAACACAAAGCTGAAGAGGTATCGTTTAGATGGTGTCATTCTCAATCCGTTCCCTTTTTTCTTTTTTCTTCCATTTTTCGTTTTTATTTCCTTTCTTATCACTCCATTCTCTTTTTTTTCCTCTCATGTGAATTAATCGCACAATGTTTAACGTTTTGTTTTCTGCCTTCTATAATTTTCATGGCAGGTTATCGATAGAAATAGCTGAGAGACGTGCGAAACAAAGGACCCGCATGGTGTGGTGGTGAACGCGTTACTCCCCGGAAAGGATAATAGCGCGTTCGTTCCCCACCATAGACACCTGCGGTCCAGAGTTTTGCAAATATCTCAGCAACGTTGTAATCGCACAATGTTCTTCTGTTAACTTCTTCAAGAAGCTTCAGATTCTTTCCTTCACAAAGCCACTGCAGTAGTAGGCGCCATTTGGTTCTGCTTTTAGTAACGAAAGGAGTTGATTGTGTTGGCTCTTTATCTCCCATGTTTTACACAACTGATTCAGGCCTCATATGAACACACTGACACATTTATGTCGTTGGTGATTGTTAAACAAAGGTTTAACAAATGAAACCTCACATACTTCTTGTCTATTAGTCGATCTTCTTCATTTCTGATTGTTCAAGTGACTGATTTTAGGGAATTCTATAACTTTACTTTTTTAATGTTAATATGATAAGAGTAATCCTTTCTTGAATTTTCTTCGTATTTTTGTTGAGCAAACGCGAGGTGTTATTATTCTTTGTCCACGCTTAAGCTGATGTTTCGGCGGATTTCGCCTTCCTCAGAGCCTGGAAAGGTCAAGTTCATAGCAATCTACTCGGCCAGACGCCTTCATAACCAAACAAAGAAACTCTAAACCAAGATTTCAATCACTTTGAACACAGCTTTGCACACTCACCGCTTCCTATGAGGTTTCCACTAAGTATGTCACGTAGAGACCAACCGCACAGAAATCACGTGGAAGTATAATGTGCCCCTCACATCAGAAAAGCAGTTTTATATACTGCCCTATATCACGCGTGATAATGAGGCATTCTTCCCTGCGGTTCATTTTCGGATTTCTGGAATTAATCCAGAGTGCCTCGTGAGTTTTTCGCGTCTGTGTTCTTGATTCGCGTGCGAGGATCGTGACACATACTTCGAAGTCGTCCCCGTTATGTCTCTGGGTCCTATGCGTGCCTAGCGGGGTATTTGGTCTATTTTTGCCGGCTAGGTGTTCTTTCATGCGGACACAGAGGGGCCTACCCGTTTCGCCAATGTATTCGTCACCACACGTCTTACAGGAGATCAGATAAACTATACCCGAGCTCATGCAATCACCGTCTCTACCACTGGGGCAAATTATGCAATTTTGAGTTGCACATAGACGGTCATATAGGCGGTTACGAACTAGCTGGCGCTTAAGATTACTCGGTGGTATTTCAACTACGCTCACCGAATTCTCTAAGCCCGCCCTTCTTAAGCAGCGTTTTATAGCTGCATTTACATCATTTGAGATGAAGGGTAGGATAAACGGGACCCTTCTATCGCGAGAGTTGTCGTTTGGAGGCCTATGATTTTTTCTACACCTATCCTGAGCTACAGTTTCGTAGCCATTAGAAATGGCTATTTGCCGTGCCAAGTTCCGGGACTCCTCTCTCTGCTCTCTTCCCGTGCACACGTTGGTTGCCGTTCGAAACATGTTTCTTATAAGCGCCCTTTTCGTGTGAGAGTGGTGAGAGGAGAGGTAATGAACCAAGATGTTTTTACTACTTGGCTTTCGGTACCACTTTGTAATGTAGCCATTTTCTGATAGAATTTGTACGTTCAAAAATGGAAGCCATTTTTTTTTCGGCTTTTCTCGGGTGAACTTGATATACTCTGACTGTGCGTTTAACAATTCGAAGCATTTGTCCATTTCCTCTTGTGTTGAGCAAAGGGCAAAGCAGTCGTCTACATACCTGCAGTAGAGTAGCGGCCCGAGATCAGTCACCGGTGCTTCCACCTTAGACATAAATGCAATGGCAAGGCTTGGAGCCAGTCGTTGTCCCATTGCCAACCCTCTTATTTGAGCGTAGTACTTTCCAGACCATCTGAAGATTGAGCAGCTCAAGCATTCTTTTAAGAGTGCCATCAGGTGCTCTATCTTGAAGCCATACATGTTTATTTCTCCTTCGTGTTGTGTAAGGAGTTCGAATATGGCTTGCATTGCGGAGTCATTCGACACGTTTGCATAAAGGGCGGTAACGTCGAAGGACTCCATCACGCACGCGCTGTTGGGCTGCGCAGTACGTATACGATCCAGAAACATCCGATCCTTTCTTGAATGACTTGTCTTCGAAAGTTACTAAGAATCGAGTGAGGCAAAGCATATTTTCCATTCACTTGTATTTTTTTCTTGGTTTGTCTACTTTCTTTCATTGAGGTTTCAAAAATCGTGGTAGTGCTTTCCCAGATCCTCACAATTAATCACCTAGTGACTGTCGGTGTAGTATGGGCGCAATTCCTCGCAACAGTTTAGTCGTAGCTGGACTTTTAGGTGGAGATATCAGCCTCTTTTTCTGCTTTTGATTAACCTTCTTATTACCATATGCGTTGGTCTCCATACGCCCGCTGCCGTACGTTTCAGACCATGCATCTTGATTTCAATGCGCTCCAATGACTATGAGTCTCACAAGCAAGAATGGGCGTGGTTGTGGAAGGGTAAGTAATACTGGTGGTGGTGTAATATGCGTTACGGGTATAGTTGTGGTAATAGTGCCGTTTAATAGTCTCAAGGTGAAAGTTCTATCCTGCCCTAAGCCAGCCAAGGTTTCCGTCCTCTTGTCGAGAAATTGGTACGTCTGTGATGCACATTCTGCGACATTCATGAAGAGGACAAATTCCTAATGCAGTAAGAGAACCACTACGCAAAAATTTGAAGACCTACGTTGCTCACGGATGCGGAGAAACGAGTCAAATAGAGGAACTGCTGCGATCCATGCAGTCTATGTGAAGACGGATCGTTCAGAAATTATAATAGTAATAGTATAGCAAAGAACCATCAAGTTTAACAACCGGTACATGAAATGGTTTTTATACATAGAGGAAGAAAATAGATAGTGAGATAGATGTGGACGTCTCTCGATTGTTCTGGATCGTTAGCACGTCCTCTTGAAAGGACGAATTGGATGAAGAATAATATTCATCAGTTGAATGTACACAAGCATTTCATTCAACGTGTATTTCATCCATTTTTCCTTTTTTGTTTCATTAGTTTTCACGAGTTTCGTTTGATTTTTGTCGAAAATTTATCTTTACAGAGCGCAAAATGGGTGGCCGATACGGCTAAAGGTGCTTATGACGTGACAGCTGAGAAGACTTCGGAGGTCGGTTTCGAATCCTTGCCAAGAGACTTCTTCTTTTGCTAGTTTTCTTGGATTTTCTAACATCTTCTTGCAGTTTAAATGTATCAGAGTAAATTAAACGACTATGTACCTTCATTTTTTCCTTCCTTCTTTGAGTTTTGTTTTTTTGTTGTCCTTCTGCTAATGGAATTAGGTTTTTCTAATCTCCGCGAAAAATGTTTTGTTTTCGACTTTTTCTATTGCATGTTTCTTTTCTTCCTGGAATAAGTAAACTGAAGAGCGTTGTCTAATTTTTTTAGAACGCTTCTTGGATGGCAGATACCGCTAAAGGAGCGTATGATACCATTGCGGAAAAGACATCAGAGGTCAGACTCAAAAGGATTCGCTTTTCTGCTTATTTAGTCTTAAATCTTTTTCGTAAACTTCATCATGGGATTGTGCGTAGCGTAAATGGTTAGTATTGTCCTGCAATACATTTTAGATTGATCTCGCACCCTGACCAAAACTCACCAAGACTTCCATCCTCCTGGGTTGTTTATTTAATGGCAGACTTGTCTCTGACGATAGAACCGTGACTTCATAGAGAATTTGATTACGATGAAGCCATATATGCACTTAGTCATCCTTATCTTGCTACAAAAGCAATCGAATGCATGCTAAGTCACGCAGAGATTGATAATCGTCTAACGCTTCATACTTAATCCTTTTATAGTTGAAAAGTTAGTCACGGTAATACCAACGTTGTTATAGCGTCGTGTTCGCTACGAAAATATTGAAAGAACAAAGGGTTCTGGATAAATTCTGGTTCAGATGGCGAATGCTGTAAATGCGAAAACGTCTAGCGCGGTAAGCGCTATTGGTGGAGTGCTGAGTGAGACGAAGGACGCGGCTGGTGATGCGGTCAGTGCAACTCACTTCATTCCATAATGACTTTGTTTTTGGTGTTATTTTCTCTTATTTCATGATTTTTTCCTTTTTATCTGCTACATTTGTTTGTTTGTTTGTTTTTTCTCTCTTCATACGCTCAGAAACAAATCATTTTGACTTCGCACCTATACCTACAATGGTTCTTCCACTAGTGAGTGTCCTGTTCTTGGACCTTAAGGTTAATATTAAGGGGTAAAGTTTCGTAGATTTGGAGAACACTGCTGCTTATAAGCATCGTAATTGCAGCTTTCCCAAAACTTTTGCATTAACTTCTTTTCGGTTGATTTGTGGCGTTATTAAAACCTTCTCCGTCCTACCAAACATGTAGATGTTTTGTCCACTTATGGACTATTATCTTGGAATTCTTATCAGCCTGCCTAGTTTCTCCATGCACTGAATCGACTTGTCGAGTTAAATATGCAGAAAATTTGAGATATAGCATCGATCGATTACTCAGTACATAAGAGCGTGTTTCTTCTGTTGTTACTAGAATATTCAGTACAAAAAGGAGCGAATTTATCGTAGTGCAGTGAAATTCCTTGTGAGAAAGTTGGCTCTTTATACGTGAGTCTAAAAATACGACTTTTGGAGTACGTATCACCACTTTGGATTAAGAGGTTGACATTGTTCATCTTACTGTCAAATTTAGTGAATATTTCGTAATACTAGAGAGGCTTCGCTGTGAATCTTATAAATTCCGTTTCCCTGTTTAATTTCAGCATCGATGTTTGTGATTCTTAGGTTGAAGCTGCTAAAGAACATACCTCTATTGCTCTTCACAGTGTTAGTGAATTCGTTTACGGTGAGAAAGATAAGGATATGACTGATGCCGCTAAGGAGGCTGAAGAAAAAGTAGAAAAAGTAGAGGTTCGGTGTGTTTTTGTTCCTCACACTTTGGTGTTCTTCTTGCTTTTCGAATATTCCTCATAAAACGGTCCAGAATGTGACCAAAGAAATCTACTACAGGTGTGATTCTTGATTGCTTTCTCTCCTATCTTTTGTGCGTTTGAATTCCATGAAGTTTCATAAAACATCTAATATAGTAACATCAATCTAATCGTATTAAGGCTGGAGTAGTAGAAGCACTACAGCATGGCGCTGATGAAGCCGAAAAAATCGGAAATGAAGCTAAGGTTTGACCACCTACTTACAGTATATGAATTACTTACAGTATTCCCTAATACCCGATAGTTCATTTTATTTTCGTTAGTAGTGAATTTCAGTCCACTGGGTCCGGAGTGTTCGACTCGGTGCGGGAGGCAGCTTCCGGTGTGGCGGATAAAGTCGTTCAAGGCGCCGATTCGGCCGTGAGTTCTCAACTCTCATAGGTTTTATAATTAGTATGTGCCATTTTTTGTGTTTAGCTCTGTTATTACTTTAAACAGGTTTTTTTGTGAAGAGTTTATCTTTCCTATTTCTTTTCTGGTTTCATGATTCCTTATTTCAGACTGCAGCTGTTGAAGATGCTTTCAGTAGCGTTAAAGACAAAAGCGCATCCGCTTATGATAAGGTGAAAGAGGAAACTCATTTTTGCAACCAAATATGCGTATTTGTAAAAGCTGACAGTGGTTGACGGAAATGAAATAGAACGTCTATTATTAGTCTCCTTAAGAAGGAAAAGCTTGTTGGTTACTGAAGGGTTGCAAGGAAGTCGTCTCCAGAATTCCCTCCAAAGTTCATCTTAAAATTTCATATGTACTGATTCCACTAGTAAGCAAAGAGTACAAATTCTGTTTTTTCTACATGTTAAATTATTCTTTCAGACCAAAGAAATCGTGACCGATGTTTCAATGGTTGCTCAGGAAAAGGCAAGAGCACTGGGCGAAGAGCTAAATAAAGTAATGTTGGACAAACTTTGGTTCTTGAAATGAACGTTGTTTATTAATTCGCCTATTACTCTAATTAGATGTTGAAACAAAAGTAATACTTTGTTTTTAAGTCGTCCTAACTTGGGTAGTTGGATGACTGACCGACTCTACCACATCGTAGCAGTCGTACATTTTCTTCTTTCCACTTCGTTGTCCTGCACTCACTGTCCACACTGGTTAGGTTCGCGCGTGGATTTAGCGGCTTGGGCGTCGTTCCTCTTCTCCCTTTATTGACACGGTGAACTTATTTTCATTGAAATCCCGAGTAAACAGTGCTACAGCGTTCTGAGGTGGTTACCACAGACATGTGGCCGGACCTCGCAAATGGGAAGGTTGCCTTGCTGCTTGTATGCTTTCATGACGATAACGACTCCTGTAATAGCAGCGAATTTCGCGATTGATACAGCAACCCTTCAGAACAATGTAACGAGTTGAATTTGTTATTGGTTGTGTCTAGTTGCAGACTCTGTTCCCTGTAACACGGAAGATCTGGAAAATTCGGCACATTTGGTGATGTCTAGTTTTATCGTATTGGAACATCGGCTTCTTAGCAGTTTTGGTAGACTAGGTGATGGTTTTCGCTAGAAATTTTATTTCTCTGTGCATTGTTACTGGTGATTGAAAGCCTCTTCTCAATCGAAGCATCGGTGTAATCTGGAGACTGAACTCACATTCATCGTTTTTTCTGATGGCTAAACACGAGGTTGTTATTACAGCATTTATAATACACAAAATGTCGTATTTCGTCGGTATCGTCTTCTCAAGAGGTCAGAATGGCACGCAATCTATTCAACCGAACACTTTCGTAATCTCGGCAGCAAAACTTGACTCATAAGTTTCCATTCGTGTAATAAACAGCTTCTTTTAAACATCCGCCGTTTTGTTCTTTGTAAATCTCCCAATTATTTGGTGGAGACCACCCGCACAGAGTATTTAAATGGGCGAGGAATGTTCCGGCTCAGGTCAAGCAGTCATCCTTGGTTTTTTGCTGGACACCTATCCCAAGGAGGTGCAGTTTCATAGCCGTTTGAAATGGCTATTTGCCGCGAAATGTAGAGGAAAAACTACGCCACCAAACAGTAATTCTAGCGAGAATAAGGTCTTGCTTGTCCTGCTATTCATTTCCAATGAAATGAGTGCTGTCATAAAACGTTGCTTAAAAAGGGCAGCCCTAGAGGATTCGGTAGTAGTGACCGAATTTCTGGCACCAGGCACCAATGGTTCATAATCACAAGCAGTTACTGGTCCTCATGAATCGAAGGGTGCTGCTAAAACAGTAAGATTTTACTAAACTAGTTTAGTCCTTTTTTGGTTTCCTGGATGGAAACACCAAACACATTCTCGGCATAAAAAAGTTTGTCTTTTAAGGGGGTCTCCGCTTATCATTTATTTTTCGCACCACATCCTTTGTGAACAAATGAGTATTCTGTTTGTACTCGTCCACTTAGTATCGAATAGGTTGCTAGCTGTTCGAGAAAAACATGGCTACCGTGGAAACCACTTCTATTATGTATTCTTTCATTGGTAAGCCAACACGAAGTTGATAAAGAACTTTGTTTGGTTAACATTTCGACGTATGCATCTTCCTTAGAGCGATGGTTCCAGTCGATATCCACAGTCTTTCGTAGTCTCGATGTGGTGTCTTCGTCGTCTTATCGTGTCATACCTTCTTTAGTGGAGTACCGCTTGAATTAAGCAACCTCATCCGGCGATACTCTTTTATAGAGGACGGTTGTTATTGATAGTGATTGTCAGGGGATAATAACTTGTGTTTTCTGGATAGCCTGTATCATTCTACCAGTTTGCGCAGGCATTTCCTTGTTTCATTTTTGTCCCAACACCCAAACTTAGCTGGAATAACTATACCGATCGACCGCACAAGCAGCTGGAAATTATAAAAAGAGATAAAAGTATACAAACGTACGAGTGATTGAATTGATTTAAGAGATGGCAGCCTGCCTATCAGCACCTTTGTGAGTGAGCTCATACGGCTGATACTGTGCGGAAATGCAGTAGTTGGAGAAAAAGTATTCTGTTAAACAGAAAATCTCTGTTACAGCTATTAATTAATACACTGTTCTGCTATATGCTTTGAGGCGTCGGGGGGTTACTATTGCTATTATTGTTACTGTCATGATATTTCTACTAAAAACGCATGTTGCAAATTTATAGGATGCAGAATGGGTTGAAGACACCGCAAGGAATGTCTTCCAAACAACTGGTGAAAAAGCATCGGAGGTGGTACTCTTATTTTTATTCCGTTTCTTTTATAGAGATTTGATGAGGTATTTGTTTTTTTCATGAAAAGTACTTTCATAAGATATGCTGGAAATAAATAAGCATACCTTTAAGGGTGTAGAGTGGATTACCGAAGCTGCCAAGGACGCTTACAACACATCCCATGAGAAAACATCGGAGGTGGGGACTTTTTTCTCGTGAAAGTTATTATTCTTGTCTTTTATCCTTGAAAAATTTTTTCAGCCATCGTGGAAAAATTTTCATTTAAGGGTGCAAACCAGATTACCGAAGCGGTCAAGGATGCTTACAACACATCTCAAGAAAAGATGTCCGAGGTTATAACATCGTTTTTTGTGATAAGTTATGATATTCTTCAACATCCTTCTTCGGCAACTTTTTGAGCCATCTTAGAAATTAGTTGTCGTGCTTTCAAGCACGCGGACTGGAGTGCAGATACTACCAAGGATGTTTGCAAAAGCTCTCATGAGAAGACATCTGAGAGCGAGACTTCCTTCTTGGGCTTAGATATTAATTTATCCTTGGTTTTTTTTCCTTCGTAGTATTCTTAAGTCGAGTGTCGATTTGGTTACCGGAGCGGCCAAAGATGCCTGCGATACAAATTTCGTGAGAAAGCATCAGAGATATAGAATTCTTTTTATGCTTAGCCACTGGCTAATCCTTGGTTTCTTCTCTTGCCAGCATTCTTAAACCATTCGGCAAATTAATAATCACGCATTTAAGGGTGTCGATTTGGTTACCGGAGCGGCCAAGGACGCCTACGACACATCTCATGAGAAAGTATCGGAGGTATAGAATTTTTTTAATGCTTAGTCACTGGCTGACCCTTGGTTTCTTCTCTGACCAGTGTTCTTAAACCATTGGGCAAATCAATAGTCGCGCATTTAAGGGTGTCGATTTGGTTACCGGAGCGGCCAAAGACGCCTACGATACATCTCATGAGAAAGCATCAGAGGTCTAGAATTCCTTTTATGCTTATCTACTCAACTGAGAATCAATAGCCTTGTACTTAAGGTTGCGAACTGGGTTACTGGATCCGCCAAAGACACCTATGAGACATGTCATCAAAAGGCAGCAGAGGTTTGTACTTTTTATACCCTTACCTACTAGCATCTGAACTATTTAGAGGCTAGAGAATCACGTGCTGAGCCAATTTTTTGGTATTCATAAGGGCTTTTTGGTCAAAATGTTTTGCGACACTTTAAATTTTGGTGTGTTTTTGGTGTAACTTGTTTCTTCCCAGTGGATGATGTATGAAGGGTGATGATGTGAGTTGATCTTAACTCTTAATGGTTTCTGATACTAATTTCGCTTACCAGTTGCCGTGGATTTTTCTTCAAGTCTTGTCAGATAGCTGCTTCTAAAAACGTATCTGACTTCGAGTTCAGTAATAATCATAACTCTGCTGTCTTTATTGTTCGTTTCGATTAAGCAAACATCGTTCACGCGTCAACTATATTGGGAAAATGAATCGACTTTCATTATAACGTACTGCTCGAATTCCTAAAATATCAGCCAAGTGTTACCTTAAAATGACAACAGCTTGTAGCCGTAGCTACTCAGCAAAAATGTGCTATCTTGATGGTCGTACTGTGGAACGATAACGTTCCAAGCGTCAGCATATTTGCAGCCTCCACGATATCGCTTGTGCCCTAGGTTGCGAAACTAAGTAAACGCTGGCTACGCTTCGATGAGAAGTTTTCCTTCACTCGGAGTACTCAAGTCCTTTGACTAGTAACTTTTCGGAGCTTTCAACAGTCGCATAGGAGCGAAATTCCTTTGCGACCAATCCAAGGTCCGCAATGCGATCGGGAAGCTCGTTGTCTACTGACCACACGTCAATTTAATGCAGTTGGTGTCCAAAAACGTTTGAAAAACTGGATACTTGAGATAGAGAATGATGGGAATTATACTGTGAATAAATCTGTTAGGTTAGTGGAAGTATTTTTTACATGACCCTTTATCACATCTGTTGTGCTGATCGCAGCATTTCTTGCATTCGATTCGTTTTCCTTGCATTCATCGTTCACAGTGGTCTCTCCGAACATTCGTGTATTGTTCCGGCTGCTGCTTGAGGATTTCACCTTATGATTTTCGCACATAGAGGCCTAGTCGACTATTATTGCAATCTTTGTGAAAACCTAGCTAAGGCCGGAGGAGCGTAGGGGTGGGTGTCGAACCAGGAACCTTGACTACTGGTGGACTACACATTAGCCACTGTGCTCCTCTCCTTGCTTGAATGTATTAAATTTTTAAAACTATATTCACATTCTCTCATGAAACCTTCGTTAATATTATTTCCTGTTCTTTTAGCGAATGTAATATAGTGTTTTTAACGGAAGCGAATATTTATCGTACAAAAAAGGAATTCAGCTGAGTCAATCTGCTGAAGAAGTGTTTACCGATACCAGTACCTACCTTGAAGGCCAAGCTAAAGATATGAAGGAGAACGTTGAAAAGGTGTTGCTTTAACTCTATATCTACTCTCTTGTAGTCGTTGTTACTCTAATCTATCGTTTTTTTCTGCGGAAAGTCTTGAAGAGTTACGTTCGACCCGTCTTTTAAGGTCACTTCTAGTACACATGGATTTGTAAGTGACTGTGTTTCTGATGCGAAAGAGAAGGCACAAAATCTTCAAGAGGGCGTCGGTAAGGTTAGTTTTAAAGCATGCATGATATTTATCCAATTTTTTAAAGTTTTATTTTACTGGCACTATTTTTAACCATTTATCCGTTTTTAATCAAAAACTTCGTAGATTGTGTCTGAAGCAGCTAGCTCAGTTAAGCACGCGGTTGGAGAGGGGCAAGATAAGGTATTAGATTGGACAGACGAAATTGAAAAAGTCTGCGAACGACTTTTTTCTTTTGTTTTATATTTATTGACTGTAAAAGGGTAAAAGGATAAAGCTCTCGGCGTTGATCAGTCCCTGAGAGATGCACCATGCATTCGACTTCATTAAGTATCGTTGGAGGTGATTGAATGCATATTTGGCCTTTACAATGACTCGCAGTGGCCTACTGATGTATCGAGCCAGTGCAGCTATCCTCCAAGACAAGTCTGATATCAATTTGCCGACCCTGGAGAGATGGAAGGCTTGGTGGGCCATGGGTACGGGAATCGATTCCACGTGCGCCTCGAACTACTGCCCCTTAAAAACCTAATAAAAAACTGAATACTATAATACCTAGGTGATCTCACTTTTGTTTGATGACGAAACATTTATGTTATGAAGAAGTGCCTTCGATCTTTGGGCATAGATGTAAATCAGAACGTCGGATTCCCTTGGGTGACACTCGGTGCTTGTCACATGATAAAGTGTTCGATGACGCTAAGCGATCTTTCATCATGCTTACTTGTTGTTCAGCTTCCTGATAGGCACCTTAAGATAGGAAGATTTATGAAGAAAGAGTTCCGACCAGCTATCGACTTCTACTCCAGTGTGATCCCATTATCCATACTCGAATCACATTTTCTAAAATGGTCCGAAATTATTTTAATAAGATGGTGTCGCTTTTTTTCAAACCCTGTCATTCGGCTAATGACATTTTTTTTTGCTATAATAGTGGTAGTCTACTTGTGATGTTGCTCATTAAGGGCATAATCTCATTAAGACTGTGTAGGAAGCAGGAATCTCTCAGTGGTCTAAGACTTCTTTGACTGCTTCTGGTCCAAATAACTTGACTTTTTTTCAAGTCACTGAAAGAAATAAAGTTGAGAGTTATGCTTTCGCTACACTGCTTTGTTTTTTAATAGTATGAGATATACTCCACACATCAAAGTTATGTTTTCTGGCATGGTTACCCTTCGTCCAGTCTCCTGTTTCCTTTATGAATCCAATGAAGACGGCGGACTCTAAACAGACCGAATGACATTTGCTGATGGCACCACAGGTGCACAATAACACGGTACCTCTGCGAACCTTGGGAATGGCTTTCTTGTAGATTAGAAATTCTGCTCTAGTTCTTTCTGAACCAGAAGATTCGATGTTCATCGACACGCTTGAACTGACATCAGACGAACTCTTCCTAGTGCTTCATTGCAGTGTGTTACCGAAGAGAGTTCTTCGCCTACATTTATTTGTCCGTGCCTTATTGTTTGTTTGACGATGTCGTATTTATACTTCTTCACTTGCATCATCTGGATCTCAGTGGAAGATTTCGAAGCCAGTGTTTGTTAGTTTCAAGTTTTTGTCGTCGTAATAGTCTTCGTTTGAGTGGCTTTGTATGAATCGTTGATGATGTCGATCATTAAGAATAACCAACGATCAAAGATGTTAAGAGGATGACTAATGCTCATAGTTCGTGTACAGTAACCTGAGATTATAGCGATGGTCAGCAGTCATAGGAAACTGTTGAAATGTTACTGTGTCCTCACTTTTCTACGAGCTACTTTAAATTTTCCTATCCGTCTTTTTCCTATCAGTATTCCTTATTCAGGTCACTAGCGATGTTGTAACTAACGCAGAGAAGAAGGCACATGATGGAAAACACAGTTTTGAAGAGGTGTGTTTTTTCTACTAATTTCGCCTTAAATTGTTAATTATTAAAGAGGTAGTAAATGCACGCATGTACAGTAAATTCAAGTAGAGTGAAGCTTGAAAGACGTTAATAGAGGAAATGGAAGGTGTTTCTACCGTATACCGCAAAGGGTTTACACTTACCATAATGAGATGGCAAGGTACTGAGGAGGAAAATTAGTGCAAAAGATATCAATAGTGTTATTATTACACTTTTGAAAATTTTGTGGGCTGTCTGAGTCTTAGTCATTTTTAGTTCGTATCATCCACTTACGACAAGCTTCACGAAAAATTTTCTGAAATGAAGGAGAAGGCCGGAGAGGTCGAAAGTGAAGCTGATAAGGTAATCTCGATAGGCCATGTTATTGTTTTCTTTAAAGTATACTATTCTGACTAGTCACATTTCTTAGTTTTTACGATTAAAGTATTAAAGACGACGCTTTTACAATGGAATCGAGGTGATCCCTAGCTAATTTAGTCCTTGTCATCTGCAAGCGCGTCCATCAAAAACGCATTTACCGAAGGGAAACATAAAGCCGATGATGTGAAGGACGAAGCGAACAAGGTTCTTAGCTAGTTTTACTCTACATTATTACTTTTTCCCTAGCAGACGCTTTTCAACTCGATTTTTTTTGATTTAAGTCACCGATGATTCAAGTGTATAGCTTATTTCCAGGGTGTCTCTTCAGCTTTCTACGATGTTAAGGACAAAGTGTGCGAATTCACGGAGGACGCTAAAGGTGAACTTAAGAAGGTCAGTTGATTTTCCCAGGAGACCTTCGTGGAGAATCGAAAATTGCTCCAAGGTTTTGTTTGGAAAAAATGCTAGAAACGCTTATGTCAATTCAGTGAGAGGAGAGTGCGCATAGTGCGATATGATACACGATATGAACAAATGATACACGCAAAGTGCGATATGATATGATCAGAAGTATCGACTAGCCACGATGAGGCGGTAAACCGTTGGGAGGATTTTTCGAAGTGATAGTAAAAAATATGTACTACTTTTCTCGTTAGCTCCATGTGCCAAATAAAAGACCAATTGATTCTGTCAGTTTATTTCAAGAACGTTTAAGAATTGGATACTGTTGTAGGTGAATTTAGGTTGGTGCTGCTGTTGCCGAGAAGTTACACCATGTCGAAGACAAGTGTAAGGAATCCGTTCACGTTGGAGCTGAGAAGGTTATCTTCCTTTGATTTTATTCCGCTGAATATTACTTTTTCAAAACCGTTGACGTTTTAATCACATTGAAGGCAACAAGAACCATATGAGTGTCAAATTTTCATAACTATAATATTTACCGCGGATTGTTTTCTAGAAATTCGTAATTCGAACGTAAAACAAATCAAGTTTAGAAGAAAATGTGCATTTACTCAACCAATCATCTTTTCCTGCTTTCACCTAGCATGTAGCAAATAATGGCATGTATCTGATTTCATTTGTGCTTATGGTGTCAATTTACTAATATTCTTTTACAGGAAACTGCATCATCTGCTGAGCTGGAGGTTGGAGCATTATCCTTCAGCTTTGTTTTAGTTTTGTTACAGTTTTTCTTATGGGAAGTGCATGCATTTGTTTCTGCTAACATTGCTAGTTCTCTGTCTAAACAGGCTTGTTATAGTATCCACCACCACCGGCACCATCACCTTTACCATGTTCTGAGGTAAGTTCAAGCATGTTTTAGTAGCAGTCGTTTCGGTTGACATAACCGGCGTTAAAAATGCTAGCCAAATTTTTCTCGATGCTTTTGGGCCAGAGTGTCCTAGTTCAATTTCCTTATTATTGGGAAGGTTCACCGAAGAATTGCTACTTTGTTTACATTGGTGGATGTAATATAGATTTCAGTCCTATACATTCAATAACTTCAAAAGAGCAATACCGATAGAAGAGATCTTACAGGAAATAGCCAAATAGCCACCTGGGCTGTCATATTGGAGCTGAATTTTTCTCTATTCTCGTCCATTCGGCGTTTAGGAAGGAATTAGCGTTCAATTTATTGTTGTCCTTTCCACTAGCAAAGATAGGAACTTATTCAGGCCATCCCTGTTTGTCTGAAGTGTTAATGTGGGTGACCCTACCTGTAATCTATAACCGGTTGACGCTGACGGTTCTACCCTGCTTGTTCCATTATACTTGTTATCAACATGGTACTTGTTTGCTATTTAGGCAGAAGAACAAGCTAAAGTTGGTAACGATTTCTATAGTAAAGTGGACACTTTGGTTCAGTCAACTCGAGAATCATTCGACACGGCTGCTGCGTACAGTGAAGTGGTCGCCGAAAAGGCCGCCGAAGCTGTGAGTGCTGACGTCTTCTGTTAACTAATATTTAGAGCTTTTTTTTGCTTTTGCTGTAGTAATAAATCGGCGATGAGCTTTTTAACTCCAAAAATTCTACACTCCATTTTAGCATTTGAATTGAGTTCACCACCTTATTTCATCGGTAAGCGAATACGAGGTTGTTACCACATATTTATTCGGCTAAAGTTTCGGCGTCTTCATCTTCATCACAGCCGGTGGTCGGAGTGAATGGTTCCCAGCCGTTCGTCTTCTCGATGTGGCCTCTTCATCCTCGTACCAAATCGGATCTTCTTCATTGGAGCACCTTTCGAACGAGGCAATCTCACCCGGCAGCGCTGTTTTGTACAGGACGGTTGTTGTTGATAATAACTATCCGTAGATAGTATTTTGGCTTTCAGCGGCTTATCAATCCTACAGGATGTAGTAACAACTTTCTGTTAGCTTATAAATGAAATAGTGTGCTGATTATTTATACCGACGTTTCTCGGTTTATATTAACACTGAGTTCACTCACAACGTTGCTGAGATATTTGCAAAACGCTGGACCGCAGGTGTCTATGGTGGGGAACGAACGCGCTCTTGTCCTTTCCGGGGAGTAACGCGTTCACCACCACACCATGCGGGTCCTTCGTTTCGCCTGTCTCTCAGCTATTTCTATCTTTCTTCAGACGTTCTTCAGACGTTCTTCTTGGTCCAATCTTGCCGTTGAAATCTCTAATGAAGACCTTGAAGAATCTGTGGTCTTCTCTCTAGAACTTCTCCAAGTCCATATAGAACGCTTCGACTTCTTCTTCGTCATAGTTTGATGTCGGCGCGTAAACGACGAAGATTGTCAAGGCCGGAATTGATCCACATCTTCTTAATCGTAAACGGGCGAATCGGGTTGTAAGTTGTTCGAATGAATCGATGTTCATGGACAAATTCGTGTTGTGTCATGGGCGGCGTTGAAAGGCTGGCGTCTTCTCGTCTGGGCCAGGCTGATGACGTCGTACCTTATCCTTCTTGCTTGCATGAGCAATTCCTCTATCGAGCATTTGTAGGTATAGTTCATCACTAAAGTTCTTCGTGATCCAGGCAGCTTCCACTGGCCCTGAGATTTTAGTAGCCTCTCCGTACTCGTCCTACCCAACACTGCGAAATTGGAGTTCTTTCGGAGTGAGGGAAATGAAGCCCGTTTTCTTCTACTGTGTTTAGCATTTTGATACCCACGTATAGCTTGCTGGGCTCTGAACGTGGGGCCTGGATGTACTCACGGGTAGCTTGCCAGGTTGTCCCGGAGTGGATATGGAGATTATTTGTTGGAGGTGACTCCTAACCGCTTCCCATATACTTCCCTGTCACTTGATTGCAGGTTTTTGGCCGAATTGACTCGTAAAATACAATCCACATAAGCGAGAACGCACCCATACACACATGCATGAATACGCCTATCAAATGCAGAAAGTGTGTGCGATGTCGGCGCAGCAGAAACAGGGAGTCCATCCCCTTGATCCACCTGCGTCTCAGAGAAGCAAAGGTCGCTTTTGGTCCGCGATCAACCCCCTATCTGCAACCTGGAGACGCGCCACGTAGCCTCGCGACTAACCGGCTCGAGATCCCTCATATGAGGGAGATCCATGGGCTTTGTGATTATATAGTTAAATATTATATACTCTTAATGATTGGTTGATCTAGGTTCATGAATAATCTTGTTAGCCTAGCACATTTTTCGTTTCACCCGTGTTTTATTGAGTTGTTAGAGGTTTTTCTTTGAAGCCCTATTAAGTTAGTACCAGGATGTCCACGTTATCGTCAACTTTGCGGTTTTTACGGATCGGAGGTGTTACTGTCACCATATACTCAAGTTCATTTTCGCTGCAATTCGACATGAAAATGTTGCATTTGTTGCGGGTGTCTTAATTGATCATCAATACCAACACCAAGACCCACCACCGTCCTGGTGTCAAACTAATCGCATGGTGGTAAATCTCCCTCTGATCCACAAGGGCGAGGACTGCCTGTAGTGGTGGCGAGCTGGGGAGACTTTGGTCAGGCTGGATTCTGGACTCCAGAGAACCGCAATGGCTAAACCAGCAATCTCCGGCGAATGGAGATTACGTAGAGCCCGAACAACCAGTGAAGACGGGTAATCGAATCATCCTAGTAATTGATCAATTACTGATCACAGTGAAACAGGTCAGTAGTTAGTTGTGGTGAAAAAACGGTCTATCAATTGTTACCATATTCATGACAGTGTTACGACAACGGGCGGGTTATTTTTTTTGTTGCCATCTATCTGAATTCCAGTGTTTATCCGAGAAGAGGAAGAGCAGAAAAGAAAAAGGAAACGAAGAACAGTGGCGGAGAATTTCATTCAATAGAATTTTCGTGTTGTTGGAACAAAATTTTTGTTAGTTGGTCGTATACCTTCTGCATGTTCCCTTTGTTTAATACAAGTAATGTCTTGCGTCCATGCTTTTTTTTCGCACATTTTCCTTACATTTGTGGAGTTTCGCTTCTTTCCTGTGATTATAGAAATGGTTTAATACAATTAGGCAGCGCTATCGACTAAACTTAAAATCATGTCCTCTGGCTATACTGCAATAAATTATTATTATATTTGCATTTTGGAGTTAATCAAGAAACTTTTTTTAGTTGCACGCGGCTGAGGAAACCGCGGCGAAGGCTTTCGAGCAAGCCAAAGAGAAGGCAAGCGAACTATCGGCGACGGCCGCCGAAAAGGCAAAGGCTGCTGAGGTATTATTACTTACTATTTATTATTTGCCTGTTTGCTTATTCTTTAATTGCAGTGGTTTTATTATTATTATTATAATTTTTCTTGCCACTACCTGGTGTTTATGTAAGCTCAAAGAATTGACACTGCTTACCCACCTAGTGTTGCAACGTGACTTTGTTCACCTCCAGACGATCTGTTCGATGAGGAAACCTCTCAGTGAAAGCTGCAAATTTCTGAATGTTCATTGCTTGGTTTTCTTTATAGAAACAAATCTTTAATTAGGTAACGTCCCAGTAAAATTGGAGCAAGGAAACGTTTCTGTTAGGTTTATGTCTCAAATCCCAACTAATTTAACCCCTGGGTCTTTTTAGAAATCTGTTCAAGAAGCAACTTCAGCTGCTGCACACAAAGTTCATGAGATTGAGGTGATTGTGTGTTTTTATCATTGTTGTCTTTTATAGATTAACAATAGTATTTAAAAGAAAATATTTTAGTAACAAATTTTCATTATTCAATACTAACATGCTACCATTGGAAGTTAGTATTTCTACGTAGATTTAGTCATGGGCTTAAAATTCCTTGTACCATTTTTCAGCTCGAACTTTTTATTCATCACAACTGAACCATTAATAATAATTAATAAAATAGTGATTTTAGGACAATTTTTCACTTAGTGTTAAAGAAAGCTGTGCCTTAAATGCGCCACATGAGTTAAATCAGTATCAATTTCATAGCGTTGTCGTTCAATACGTATGTTTCATTCAGCTGCTGTTTTAGTGCGTTGTGTGCGCACACATACACAAACATCCATTGTGCACATCCACATTTGAAGACTTCAGTTCTCTCAGAGGTTTTGGAAATCATGATTGATTGCGAGAAGTCACAAAATCTCTAGGTTGTGGATGGATTATCACGTTTCCTTCCCGGCAATGAGAAGTGATAGGCTTAAGTTTTCAAGATGGCTACCGTTTGCACGTGAAAATTCGGTGCCTCGTGTTAACCACAGTAATAGATTTTTAACTTTTTTCGGAACTTAAAGAATGCTTTGTGCAATGCTCCTCATCGTGACCTTATTCCTCATAGCAGAACCTTCGAGCTTTCGTTGGTGATCATGCTGAGACGGTGACACTTAATTCGTACATCTGTGTCCATAGACTTCAGACCATTATTTGTTGTATTTGACTTGTCTCAATTTCCCATGTTTCGTTCAAGCTGTGTTTGACTACAAAAGTGTTAAAATCTATTACAAGTCGATATCCTTCATTTAAAGCAGTTTTTGATGTAACACTAACAGCGTGTCCTAACCGTTTAGAAGTCAGCCGAAGGATTAGCGTCATCTGCCTATGCCGGAGCGAAGTCGATAATGTGTGACGCAACGGAGGCCATTCAAGAACGTGCTCACCACATAGTCGAAGACGTCAAGCATGCCATTACAACTGATAGCGAAAAAGTACCAGGGGTAAATAAATTACTAACATTCCGCTGAGTTTTGTGATGGAAATTAAATGTAGTGTAATTCTAACATCCTGTGTCCTGCACCCTTTCCTCTGTACCCTGTTTTTCCGCTTCTAGAAGAGCGCAATTGTGAGTGGTAGTTCTGTGCATGCTCCATGCGATGCATATTGATAAGATCGCTAATGTGATCAATAAGCATGCAAAGTGTATGCCAAATTATATTCGACGCTTTCACCTCGAAATTCATTTACTAGCTGTTCCTAGAACCTGGAACAGTCAAGAAACTTCTCTATAATGCTGAGATCCCGGGATCGTTTTTTGGGTTCTACAGCGATATCGTACATTCGTTTGTATCAGTGACATCCATCGATGAATAACATTGCAAATTCTGCGCAAGATTTTATTTCTCTTATTGTTATGTTTTTTTCCCGTCTTCACAACTCACAGCATTTTGCTGAAATCCATTGAAATATAATCAGTGTTTACATCTCGTGAAATTGCCCCTGTTTTTTCTTGCTTAAACTAACTTTGTGGTGAAGAACAGGAGGTGTTCGGTATAACATATCATGCGCGGGTCTTGTTATCTTTCTTTTTTTGCTTTTTCTTCCTTTTTACTTTCGTTTGTAACACTCTGTTGCCTAATCGTGTCCAACTCATAGCCGATCGCTGACGGAATCGCGAAGGCGGCTACCGATGAAGCGATCGTGGAAGCGGTTAAGGAGGTCGTCCAGTTTTTTCGTTATTCGCTCTTAATAGCTTTTCTATAGGAATTTACCTGTCTCACATTGCTTAAGAAACACGAAATCATTAACGTATAGCCAGACTATCACCAATACTATCACCAACCATTACTTAGACTTCTTTATATTGATGTCCTTACTTCATGAGAGGAAATAGGCTTCTATTCCGTAATTTTTCTAATTTTTCAGACATCGGCTGGCGCTAAAGTGGAGGGAGCCGTTGAAGAAGTGAGAGAAGGCGCCGAAGTGAGTTTTTCGTTAGAAACCTTAGTTAGATATTCTAATTTCTTAGATTTCAACCGACAGCTCAATGTTCTCTTAGTGTTCTGCCTTTAGATCATTGAAAACGTACACTTTCGGATTCAATTAAATTAGTTTTGTGCTAGCATCATTTGGATTTGTACCGCTATTGCTCATTCAAGCAATGTTGGCTTGCAAAGTAAAATAGGTTTTTTTCGTTTTTTCCCAACGAAAATGGGCTGATGATCCATTATCTGCTTCGTTACAAGGCGAGTAATCTTTTTATCCAACCAATATTCCAGCTTTAAATAACAAATTTCGAAATTTCATAAAAACTCTTCTCTCTACGATCATCTAGGTGGCGCCATCATCTGAACCCAAGAAAACAGACACCTTACGTTCAACGAGGGGTGGTGAGACGAAGAGGCGATGTGCAATCCTCTAAGCCACTCCATTTTGTTTTATTGTTTGTCGTCCGGTGATCCGATCACCTAATCATCCGATCGTCCGTTGCTTCCAACCGTTTCCTCTCTAGCCACTTTTGACCCCCATTATAATATATTTTGTCAGTTTTAATTTCGTGTAAGTCGTATTCGCGTTGTTTCAATATGTGAGTTTTCTGTAGCCGCCTCTTGATGAGTTTTCTTTTCTTATTTCTTCTGGTTCTTATGAAACATCATTCTGAAGCGCTTTGTATTATTTTATATAACCGTTTGGCTTCATGACGAGATAGTTGTTGTTCCACAAACATACGCAGAACCTCTTCGTTTAGTGGATTTTACTTGTGTAAGACTTACCCCCATCAGTGCCTATAACCGTTTTATTGTCATTTTTGTACATTATCCATGTTATGTGTGTTTAACCCCTGAACTAACGCTGCTTTGATAAAAATTTCCACGGTATCATGTAGTTTTAATGGTTTAATAGTGTGTAGCAATATTATTGCTTGACGTGCGTTCTTGCCCCTTTTCTCAGATCTGTTGTGGTAGTATTCATGAAGATAGGTGGGTGATATCAATTGTTTTTTCAACAGATGGTTGTGATGCTTTTATGATTAGTGTAAGTCGTTATCAAATAATCGGTGAATAGGAAAAACTGGAAGTGATGCTCAATTTAACATCTCGTAATTTTTAGGTCAGTTCACTCAACATGTCAAGGGTGAGTTGCCTCACTTCACCTCTTAGAATCGCTACAGAAAAGTGTGACTTGGGAAAGAAGCGTCGCTTCTCGTTTTCAAACCGCTCCGGATTCCTTTTGCAATAGACTTGCCAATGAATTCCATACATCTATTGAAACGGTGAACATCACATACTCTTGAAGTACACAATAAAGCAGTCGATACAAAATTGTAACATCGCTAGCAATTTTTTTTCAGTTATTTGGTTCAATGTTATTTGGCAACAAGAAGAAAAAAGAAAAACAAGGTGCGATAACCTATTGAATTCATAATAAGTAGCTTGTTCAAGGTATGAAGTTGAGGCTTTATTTGAAGCTTCAAGTTAGCATATGAAGTTGGAAAGGAACCGTATGAACTAAGTAGACTTCAGCAATTGTTGCAGTGGCATTCTATCGTAGTCGAAAAACACCATGTGGCAACGATACCTAGGCAAAGGAAAATTGGAAAAACGCCAAACCAAAAATCTATCATGCCTCCGGTATAGGGAGAACCCATCTACGAACAACTTTCAGCGTTAGGACACCCGTTCATCCAAGTAACAGATTATCCAGTTCAAGGAATCTCATTCGTATCATCAACTGTTCTGCCTCAGCAGTGGATTCTATAACGCTATTCGACTTTTCATTCTGCATGAGTAACGCGTTGTTCTCCGTGCCGAAAAGATGGGCACGGATTCAGGTGTTCATTGTCTTCTTCATTGCACTCTTAGTGCTTTTGAAAACTTTTTTACCTCAGCATCGTTGTGGTTGTAATTCACATCACGCCCTGCCGTGAAAAATTATAGTAGGCAGAAAATAGGTCGACATTGTGATTTTGATCACAGATTTAGCTTGACTGGGTCCAATGCCAATTTGTGTTTCCCAGATCAATCCCGCCGACGGGTGATTGCTGATGGCAGCGTTATGTGGAAAACTACCTGAGAAACGCAGAGCAAGGGATTCCGTGGCGCAGTGTGTAATGCGTGGGCCACCGGAAACGGAAGTTGTGGTTCCATTTGCCCCTGGGTCCAGGTTTTAGCGAATATCTCAGCACCGTTGTGTTTTTGTAAGGTTTCCAACTAGGCTAAATCGGAAGCTAGATTATTCTGCAGTTATCTCCAACCCGATACACATAGGTGAAACGTTCGTAAATATGCAACCTGCAGTACGTGAATGGACCATGGAATGTGACTTGCTGTATCACGGAGATTAGTTTCTAGATGGTTATCTGAAAAAGGGCGCGTGTGGCGCAGTGATTGGAGGCGCCACTGCGACACACACGTGGGATCGATCCCCGTACCCATGGCCCGCCAAGCCTTCCATCCCTCCGGGGTCGGCAAATTGGTACTATACTTATCTAGAAGGATAGCAGCACTGGCTCGATACATCGGTAGGCCACCGCGAGTCATTGTAAAGGTCAGATATGCATTCATTAACCTCCACCGATACTTAATGAGGTCGAATGCATGGCGCATCCCTTAGGGATTGATCAACGCCGAGAGCTTTTTACCCTTTTATCTGAAAATAGACTTTTTCACAACTGCTTTCGAAATCGGCCGGTATTGCTTACGTACGCCTTTTTTCTTGGAACAATGCCATCAGTAGAGAGTACATTACGCCGGTGCCGATTGTCAATTTTTAGGTAAAACGAAACTAGATCTCACTATACTTCAAGCAGTCCTGCTTTCACATGGATTTAAAGTTCTAAGGTTTGAACGGTTGTATGACGTCCAATGCATTATTAATGCTGTTAAGGAAGACTCAAGTTATGAAAATAGTAAACAGGTAATGGCTGCAAAACAGCGCAACCGATTTGGCAAGGCAATGGCTCCACATTCTTCAGCTGTTCGAGTCTGTTTTTATCTCAGCCAATTGCTGCAGGTTTTTCACCGAAGAAATCGTCATAAATGACGGATATCAGAAAAGAGTACGAAAGAGAACATACAACTATTCTCGCTGATGTGGAGTGAATGGACTTCTATGCGGCACAGAGAGAACCAAGTGGAGTATCGTGGATTGCCGTCGAAATTACCCTTTTGGCTGCACTGATAGTACCGTTTGAGCATTGTACCATTTGGATCCTATAATTGGCAAAGGTTTCGATGTTCGTAGCTTTGCTGCAGTTTTTCTATGATCTGATTGAATTGTTTGTTAACCTCGTTAATCACTCGAACATGAAAGAAGCTGGTGGAAGCAAAAAATTCTTATTTTATCGTGGTTTTAATTCTGCCCTTTGAATTCTTCAGAGTTTCTTTCACAAAAGGTTAAAGAATAAAGCTCTCGGCGTAGGTAAATCCTTGAGGGATGCGCCATGCATTCGACTTCATTAAGTATCGTTGGAGGTGATTGAATGCATATCCGGCCTTTACAACGACTCGCCGTGGCCTACCAATGTATCAACCAGTGCTGCTATTCTCCCAGACAAGTCTAACACCAATTTGCCGACCCTGGGGGGATGAAAGGATTGGTCGGCCATGGGCCCGGGGTCCGATTCCATGTGTGTGTTGCAGGGCGCCTCCGACCACTACGCCTCACACGTTTTTCTCAATGTAACCTAATATTTTTTATCGCCTAATTTCACATATTGTGTTGATCCTAGTGTTCATTCGATGCGTTTCTTTGCCTAGATGACTTACGAAAATCTTCATATATGTAGGATTCGGCTGCTGCTTGACTATTTCTGGCCTTCTTTATGAATATCGTTCAATGCTAGTAGAGTCAGTTCTTCGTCCAGTCCTGGAAAATCCATGCTTTCGCTTCCCTGGTCTTCATTACAGGCAATCGCTAATTCTTGAAGATAGGAAGGAATTTTTTCCAAACAAGTCTAATGGCAATTTTTACACCTCGGACGGATCTGGTTGACACGGGCGAAGTCGAATCTACAAAGCAGTAACTCTACCACTGCATCCGCACCCCTGGATGAATAGTTTAATTGGTAAAAATAGATATTCTTGTCAGTGGATGAAAAGGACTGTGTCTATACCCTGTAATTAGCTTTGAGGGCTCTAATGAAACTACAGTAGGACACCGCGAAATACTTTTCCCTAGAGTTTACGAGAGCATACGTCACCTTTCTGTAGGGCACACTAAAACCGTGATTACTGTAAGGCGAATTTGTATGGTGCAGTTTTTAAAATCAAATCAAAAGTTCGGCCTTATATATATATATATTATATTTCATTTCATTCATTTCATTATTATATATATTATATATATTTCAAGTATTTAGCTAAAAAAAGGTGGATTAAAAAACTTATGTGTTCAGAAAAACAGAGTAGTGCAGAAAGCCTTGGAAAGAAAGTTGGTTCATTGCCAAATATGGCAGCGCCTTTGATGATCAAGGTGGGCAAGCACATTTGGCATGTTCACAAATTTTCTACACAGTGAAGTTGTTGCCGTTGCTGTTATTATTATTATTATTATTATTATTATTATATTATTATATTATTATTATTGTTGTTGTTGTTGTCGTTGTTGCTGCTTATTGTCGACGCACAATGAAGATGGTCTTTTAGAACACTGGATCTCTCGTAAACCGACAGTTCATCATTTCTATACTCAAATTCTACTGTTTAGATCAGGCGGCTATCAAGGCCATGTAGTGCTGTAATCGGAGGCACTATATATTGTTAGGGTTACCATCCATACAAAAACAACGACACATAGCTCTTAATCAAGCGACATTTGGGTACTCTCTGTTTGTGTATGTTTTAGAAGGATTTCATACCAAATGCATATCATGAAGATGTGGTTGACGAAGCCTTAGGTCAACAGAAAAAGGTAAAATTACGGAGATTAATCGTTTTCGCCATCATGAACAGCTTGCTATGAGCATTCTTTGCACAGTGTGATGTCGAAAAAATATCATCATCCACTATGAGCGCAGACAACAGGCTGACTTGGGCCACAAATTTGTTTACAAGAAAGGTTGGCAAATGTGTTTAGACACTTAGAAGCTCAGGTTTTCAAAATAATCGTGCTGTTTTCTTTTTACATTCGGGGTTTCACAGTTCACCGTTTGTTGTCGGCCAACCATAAACAGTATTCCAGCCAATACGAGTACTTGCAAAAGAATTTGCTGCGAATAAAAAGATCAAACCAGCCGATTTCACTACAGAAGCGTACGAGAAAAATGATGCTAAAAATCGGTATAGTATGATCCATATCACAGCATTCTATAAGGGCTTACCGTTTGTATGCCGTACTACGATAAGCTTTATAGGTACAACGATATTATTTGCATTGATGCCACTCGTGTAGTGTTGAAAGATCGTAGTCCAGAGAACGACTACATTCATGCAAGTTGGATGACAATGCCAGATGGACAGAAGTATATATGCACTCAGGTCTAGTAAAAGCCTTCCTGTGCTGGTTACTGTGATGAAGTGTAGAGTTTACCGCAATGAATTAGTCACACAGCTTATTCGGAATACTGCTTTGATTTACGCATACCATATAAGTGGTTGTATGGTTCGGAAAAACGTGCCTTATCTCATAAGTAGCAGTACGAAAAAGTTATAGGGACCATTACAAGAATATGTAGGCGATTTTTGGCATATGGTGGCATCAGAAAAAAGCAAGGTGATAGTGATGCTATGCAATTTTAATGAAGGTAAGATTCCATGCTTAATTTTATGAGACATTCTGAAACAATTTATGAATTCTTCTCCGATTTTTCTTTTATGCCTGTCATAATTAGGATTCCTTACTTCTTTTTACAATTTTTCACAGCGGGATATTATGTGTGATATAACCACAATGGTGCTGACATATTTGTAAAACTGCGGACTGCAGGTGTATGTGGTGGGGAACGAACTCACTATTACCCTTTCGGGGGACTAACGTGTTCACCACCACAATGCAGGTCTTTCATTTCACCTGTTTCACAGTCAGCCAGCCCCATCTTAACTGGGTTCAATGCCGATTTATACGCGCCAGACCAATCCGATTAATCCCGTTGACCACTGATTGTGATGGTCGATCGTTAACCGGCTGAGAGACAGGCGAAACGAAATACTGGCATGGTTTGGTGGTGAACATCTTAGTACTCGGAAGGGGTGGTAGCGCGTTCGTTCCACACCGCAGACACCTGCACTCTGGAGTTTTGCAAATATCTAAGCATCACTGTGGTTGTATCATTAAGATTATTCATGTTGAATATAGAATACTTCATAACTGATCGAGCTCTTTTCTCCAGGTAAACATGAAAAATGCTGTTTCTATCTTCCGAAAGATAAGAAAGATGCTGGTAGTTATGGCAGTTATATAGTTACCGTTAAATCGCTGAAACCGGACCCATTTGAAGGAATTAAACATACAGAACTTGATGTAAGATGGAGGTAAGAAACGTCTTTAATTTGTTGACAACTACAAAATACTTCCCTACTGGACAAAGTAGTAAATTACAAGCTACAGGAATACTATGTAAGCGTCTAAATAAGACCGATTCGCCTATAATGTCTATGTGATTCTGTAGGATGAGTTCCACTTGGATTTCGGTTCTTCCTGAAAGTTTTTGCGCTTTCACTGTGAAAATCGTCACTTTACTATTACCCGAATAGGAATTATAAGATAAGAATAAAATCACTGAAGATTCTCTACAACCTTCATCTACTTCTGTCTTTTGATGCTGACTGATTACCTATCTTTGCGCCGCCTCATTGGCACCCGCCAGCGCAGGATTAGGATGTTCCACAACACACACATCATCGTTTGCTCGATCCGCCATGGTCATCCAATTCCCATTTTTTCGGCGTAGACAAATCGATGCCAGAGCTGTCCTAAATATGTTTCCAGCCATCCTCAAAGCGCGAAGACTGTAGGTGATAAGGATCTGGCATTGCAACCAACCCAAGGATCTCGAGAAGAATCAATTCAGCCAGCATAGAAGGACATTCACTAAGATGGCAAATTTCTCAAGTAGTAATTGGAAGCCGGAAAATCACGCTTAGGGCTGAATAAAAAGGATAATGCTCTCGCCGTAGATCAATCCCTGAGGGATGCACCATGCAGTGGACTCCATTTAGTACCGTTGGAAGTGACTGAATGCATAACTGGCCTTTCCAATGACTCGCGTTGGCCCACCAATGTATTGAGCCAGTGCTGCCATCTTTTCAGACTAGTCTAGTACCAATTTGCTAACCCCAGAGGAATGGAAGACTTCGTAGACCATGGACGCGGGGACCGATCCCGTGTGTACTGTAGGGCGTTTCTGGCTACAGCGTTACTCACGCCATTGCTGTGGGATAGCGTACCAAAAAATTGCTCGATACAATGACCGCAGCAAGACATATTGCAGATATGTACCTAGACGTGTTCGTTTTGGAGTAAAATATCGTTCCACGTTGTCGTTTTCAGTGAGAACAAGACCTTTACCGTTAACCATTTTGCGTATTTTGATTGGCCAGATCACACGGCGCCACTGAATCCGAAGCCAACTATCGGAACGTTCAAACTGGCACGTACACTAGCTGCCGGCAGTCCAATCACCGTGCACTGTTCGGCCGGCATAGGTCGAAGTGCCACGTTTATCGGTACAGCATTAAAAATACTTTCATATTTAATCGCATCCTAAGTTATACTGTAATAAACGGGTTGAAATTACAGCAATCGATTATGCGGCACAAAAAATTCGCGAAAATTCGGAAGCGTCGATGATTGACGTTGTTAGAGATCTTCGTAGTCAACGATATCAAGCAATACAGTCGGCGATTCAATACGTTTTTCTACACATTTGCCTAGTTGAATACTTCGCTGAAGTAAGTCACATAAGAGTTTTCTCCATCAAAAAGAAAAGTCCACCAGTTCTCTTCTCTCAAAGAGGTAGTCACTAGGTTAGAGATTTCAGCACAAGATGAAATGGTTGAGTTTTGAACGTCTAAATGAACTGTTGCTTGCACCATGTCTGTCCTATTGTCATGGCTGTCATTTCATGTAGATAGTTTTTCGTTCATCAGTGATGAAGAAATGGTTGTGGGGAAATCCGGGACATTTAAGGTTTAGCACAAGGGTAACGGTTGTGTCTTCCTTGGTAGAGCAATTATTGCGCCAATTTCCTAACGTCTTTACATTGCTGCGGAGCCATATAAGCACACCACCTACACACACAAATACACGTGCATACACACACGTACATACATACATACATACATACATACATACACATATACATACATATATACATATATACATACATATATACGTACATATATACATACACATATACATACATACATGCATGCTTACCCACAACATTGTTATTAGGTTATATTACTGTAAGCTAACAGCTTTCAATGAAATGAGTATAAGAAAAGCAAAACAATGATGGATTCAAAGACCGCTATATTGGTGAAAACAGTAAAGAAATATGCTTCAGGAAAATGTTTTGCCAAGAGACTCGAAATTTAACGATTATTTGGAAAGTTACGTTGGGATGATTAAACGATACAATAAGAAAGTGGAAGCAAAGCAACGTGAAAGATCGAAATCACTCGAACCGTGAACGTCATCATCACCGGAACGAGGGCGAGCTCGTCAATGAGGGCCTCAACAATATGATAACATGCTAATTCTAATTGTATTACAAGCTCATGAATATGAACAAAGTCGATAACAAAATCCTTAGTGGTATCTTGTTGAATACGGTACTGCTAACATTATTGAAAGTCTGAATAAAGCTCTTAGCGTTGATCAATCCCTTAGAGATGCGCCATGGATTCAAATAAACTTAGTTTCGTAGCGTTGAAACTTGTGTTTACAGTGAACTTCAAACAATTCACTGACATATCATTTAAATGTATTCATAGACTCTTATAAATCTGGTACCGTTCCCAGATAGATGTAGGAATTTATATACCCGATAAATGTACATAACCCATGGATCATGTGTGTACTGAGGAGTGTATTCACTTCGACCAACTACGCTACACGCGCCTTGTTAAAACAGGGCTAAAGTTTGCAGCGGTAAGAAATCAATCGGAGATACTTTTGATCAGAAAAATCCTGCCTGAATTGAAGCTGACCTTGCCCGAATCTTACATCGGTTAATTAGACTGCACGAAAACGCACAAGCATTCGCTATTACCGCTTCTTACAAATCCAGCACAGCTTCCAGCACAGAAGTCTGTTAGTAGTGATTATATCAGGCAGCAAATAAAAAATTAGCATCTGTTAATAGTTTTCGATAGCCCCTCTGAAAAGAGATATCTGGGAATTCTCAAATTGCTTCAACAAGCCATCGCTTACTCTCGTGGATAAATCAGGCTTCTTTACGGATTCATTATTCGTTTAGAGATTCTCACACGAAGTGATTGAATAAAAAGAATTAAAGATGTAATTTTCCGGTGGTAGAAAAGATGAAGTTTATTAATTTGTAAACTGTTATGTTAAGGCGTTCGGTGTTGATTAATTGCTGAGGGATGGACTTTTCACTCTACCCAGTCACGGCATAGCTAGCCCTTGTAGTACAAACTTATTGCGGCCTACTAATGTGTCATATCGCTGTTTTTATCCTTGCAAGGAACTAGGGCACGAATTTTCCATCTCCAAACGTACTGAGGCTCAGTGCGTTGGATTGATTCTGTGAGTACTCCGGCATGTATTGCAGGACACTTCAGATCATTGCGATATCGCGTGCGATAAGTTATTTTAAACAGCGTTGCTATGTCAAAATTCATGAAATAAAGTCGTACTTCCAACGGTACGGACGATGTCGATCTTAGCAAAGCACTTTGTTGGCAACAATCACCTATACTGTGGTCAGCGAGACAAATTCCCATGAGGCTGTCTTCTGGATTATCCTGCTACCACTGAAGATTACCTGGTCAAAGAAACTTCAGTAACTGCCTTAAATAAAATTCTTATGTCAAAAAATTGGTGATGATATAAAAAAGGTGGATTTGTTTAATAGCCTATTTTCTTGAATTTTTTTTTACTTCCCTGTCCTTTCAAAACTGCAATAAACCACATCTGCAATGAATAGGAAACTTGGAAGATTGCGCTGGGTTGAAAAGAAAAGTACGAAGCGATATAGATGGAAGTAACTTTGACCGGAAAAATAAAAATTACACTGCAATGCGATCCGTTGTGACCAAGGATGTTGCAGTATTAAATCCTTCATGTCGTGGTCATCGACGCAGTGAACCGAAGCCTACTCTATCACCACTAGCAACTGTGTCACCTGTAATCTCGTCAACTATCAGCTAATTCAAACTGGTAGCGGTAGGTGAAATATTTATTCTTCCCTGTCACGCGTCAGAGATATCAAGTAGGTTCGCTCAAGGAACAAGAACACATTATTCGCCCAAGACGTAGCTCTTTAGGCCTTACTATGATATAGGTTTAGCTGTATTTCCGAATGAAAATGTGGAGCCGAACAGCTTAGTTAGCCCTGATGAGGGATAAACCTCAAACCGCACTCTTGATGGCTATAAACACCCTTGACCATTATGTGGCGGCGAACCAGTTGCAATAACGATTGAATAGATGTGATAACTCTTTCCATGCTGGGTATTTCTCAATTTTGCGGTGATATGGACGATGCTTTCTCGATGAGATCAAAACCTTAACACAGAGAGCTCTCGAAAAATACTTCATATTTTGGCCAAAAATTGCATCCATTACATATGAAATCGGACTTTTTATGTATAAAATTCTTTTGCTTAAATTTCAACATAAGTAGGTAAGCCGTTAAACATCTCAGCTTTTTTAATGAGATACAATTTAAATTTATGAACAAATAGAGGTAAATCGAAAGTGAAATCAGTGTTGACGACAGCGGCGTGGTCGATATAGGACAATGAGAGATGATCCAGCGTGACACCGCACACGACGGGCAGTTGTATACCTAGAACAAAACGATGTTCTACGATAATCCAAGCATACGTTCACGGTAAGAAACCTCGTTCCACCGTTCTATTTTTCAAATTTAGAAGAAAGTTTCCATAAAAAACTAGAAGGTGTTTGAATTACTCGGTTTTTAAGATGGAGTTTCTCCGTGTAATAACGCATATACACTATCGATGAGGATTCGGTATTAGTCCTAATGGAAATGATGGAACGTAAGTGAACATATGAAGAAATAGACCGTGTCTTAGTATTTTTTGCCTTTCCATACAAGTTTTCCTTTTTTCGAGGTTTGACTTTTGGAAGCGAATTCTCAATCTGTTGTAAATCTGTTCGTCAACTTCCATAGATGGACTGAAGAGGATGCACGGACGGTGATGGGCTATCGCGCGCAACGACTTTAAAATTAGTCCACCACCGCGTTAAGGTTCTTCTTATGCTCTTAGTTTTGGTGAAACAGAAGTGTTATAAAGATTTCGTTGCTTAAAGGAATCTCAACTGGAACCTCACTTGGAGTAGCAAACATTTCGAATGATTTGAACATTAAAACGAACACTTTAAACCACCGTTAGCTAAGATATTTATTCTTTATAACGTGGACTTGCTTCACTGTACACCACGGCCTAAATGAATAATAAGGGGTAAGGTGTCCGGCCTTGATCAATCCATCAGCGATGCGTCATGTAACCTTTCCAAAGAATGATAATAATGAAATTAAAATCTTCCTAAATAAAAATAATAATGAAATTGAAATAATAGGGAAAGGCTAGGTGAGTCTGGAGCGTGTGATCAAAGAAATGATCGGCCCTGTGTCTATTGGAGAGCACCTTTAACCACTGAACTGCACGCACCATGCGGTTTGGATATGATCCATAAAGAGGAGTCTATATAGAAATTCTGCTTGCTCAAATGATTCGACTTAATCCAATAATTCCTGAAGACAGAGTAATCTTTGCAGAGATCTTACAGAACTTCAACAATTTTTTCGCTTACTTTGGTTGGAGGACCACTCATAGGGTCATAATTTAAAATCCATGTTTTCCAGCTCATTCTGCAAACCTCTTTTCCTACAAAGTATCAGCTAAGTTCTCTCTGCAAAGCGCAAAGAACGGTGGTGATTGTTTCAAGAGGGGTGCACGAATCGTATCAGTAAATTTTATAATATTGCTAGATGTCGCCAAAATGCTAAAAAGAAAATGAAAGGACCTCTTTTATTGAAAGCGAATCGTATGCGCTTCTTCACTTGTGGCCATAATACTCGTGGTACAACGAATGAGACGAGTTTCTCGATCGGCTTCGATAACATCCCGCCGACTCCAAGCTGGAACGTTTTTCTTGTTTTCATAGCCAAACAAGGTGTGCTTGAAATGTTGCCCCTTTTTGTCAAGCAAGACCTTTGAAGTGATATCTAAATTTTCCCATTAAAAATGACCAAAAAGAAGAAATGAAGCCCGAAAGTCTGAGAAAGAATAAAGTGTTCAAAGCAATAAAAAAACAAAACGCTCGTTATTATAAGTCGGAAACGTCACTGACGTCAAAAACCCTAACGTCGACGTGTGTAAGCGAGACATCACCGTAAAGTTGTGAGCGTCTGATCGTCGGTTTCAGCTGAAATGGGTGCAGTTTAACATTGCCACGACGAGACGTGTTTTATGCTAAATATTTCACTTCAGTAAACTTTTATTCACTTTCTTTGCTCATACTTTGCCTAGCAAAATTCTTTGGGGTAAAACAACGTGATGACAGATCAATACTAATGTTTATGTATAGAGTGTATGTAGTGCTTATGAGCCCTCTATAGCTCACGTTGCTTTCTATGTGTTAAGGATTTTATTTGAAACAAGTAAATTACTTGTAGCAACTCGATGATATAGCCGGCGGTAAAATCATTTGACTCGCAATTCGTAAATAAGAAAATAGATACCGCAGTTACCAAAATGACTTTTCTTGCACTACAATGGTTTTTTCCTTATGAGACGTTCTCCTTTTCCTATACTTCCAAGTGTTAAATGTATCTGCATAATGGACCACAGTAGTACATATTAAACATTAGCATACCTACCATACATACCAATACAACGACAAAGGAAAGTTTCTCATACAATGCTCTGTTGTTCATAAGCCCTAAGGCGATCTAATTATTGAAAAATTACTTTTTGTTTTTAGAAAACTAGAAAGGCCGCAACCGACAGAAAATTTGCGCCATCAGCAATCACCCGTCAACGGGATTGATCTGGGGAGCTCACTTCGGCATTGAATCCAGTTAAGCCGAGGGTGTAGTTGAAATCACAATGTTCGCTTTTTATTTTCTACCTAGTACCATTTTCGCGGTAGGATATAATGCGAAATACAGCCGCAATGATGCCGACATATTTGCAAAACTCCAGACCGCAGGTGTCAATAAAGGACAATAGCGCTTTCGTTCCCCACCGCAGACATCTTCGGTCCGAAGTTTTGCAAATATCTCAACTTTGTTGTGGTTGTACTTCGCAACATACCTTGCCATAAAAATTGTAGTAGGCAGAAAATAGAAAGTTAACATTATTGTGATTTCGACAAAAATTGCTCGTATCCCACCGACACCCGCGCAAGCGCAGCGGATGCGTTGTGGGTTAAGTGGGTACTTACTGAATTAAGCAAGTTCTTTTTCAACTACTCAACGGCCATGTTGGAAAATTAGTATTTCTTGGCACCTTTAAAAGCTTTAAGTACTGATTATTTTGAACACCGCTGAATAATCAAGTACTTACGGTGACATGAAGTTTTGTGTTAGCGTGAATTAAATTGTAAAGGTCGTCACGGCCATTAAATTGTATCAGAACGTTTCCGGCCAATTCGACACGAACTCCGTCTTTCCCACTAATTTCAACCCGAGGTTGCCTGAAATACAAAATTTTTTGTCAACCCGTGTAGTCTACATTGTCAAAAGGCCTTATAAAACGGCAAATCAATAACTTAACACCTAAGAATGAATGAATGAATGAAGAAGGTAAGAGTTTTTTCTTTTTGTTCTCTTTTCGTTCAGAAAATCGTACTCTGTGATATTTGCCGAGATATCCAGAAAACACTTAGAGCACATCATGTGGGCGATTCTCTTGATCGGTTTCGGAAGGTCTTGAGTTTCAAACCTAAACAAATTTTTCATAAAAATAAAGCGAAGTACAGACTCGAAACCAAATGAGCAAACTTTTTGATTAGAATTCGCTTGGAAGCACTGTTTAGCAGAATTATAGAAAGATGCCCTTGATAAACCCATGTTTTTGGTCTCAAAATTTGTTGAGAAAATTTCACATATCTAAAATTAAAACCAAACCTCTGGTTTTGCATAAGTGCGATTTAAAATATTAGCGGTTGACGAGGAAAATAGAGGGAAGCTAACAAAACTATTTTGATTAAGAATATAGGACTCCTCCAAACGGTTTACCACCTCATAGTGGCTGAGAGGTGTTCCTGGGTGTCGGACTGCGATGTACAGTGGGGATTCATCCCCTGGTAGGGTCTCCCAAGCTGAGAAGGAGACCGGCGTTTTCATGCCTAGCTAAGAGTAAACCAATATCAGAATCCACCACCGTCCTGGTATCAGAGTCGCATGTTGGCAAATCTCTTGATCCACAAGGGCTGTGACTATCCGTGGTGGTGAAGACCTGTGGCAGACTTTGCCCTGGCTGACCTCTAGTTTCCAAGGAACCGCAATGGCTTTAACCAGTAAATCGCCGAAAGTGGAGATTGTGCTGGGGGCCGCACAACCAGTGAGGACGGGCGGTTCAAGTATCAAGTAAGGATGTAGGACTATTTTGTCTACCATGTAAGTATTCTTTCTTTGATGAGCTTACACGAGGTTGATAATGATATTTATTTTCGGCTAGCGTTTCGACGTCTTCGTCTTCCTCAGAGCCGATGATCCGAGTCGTTGGTCCTCGCTTGTTATTCGCCTCGACGTGACAACTTCGCCTTCGTGTCGAGTTAGGTCTTCTTCAGTGAGCCATCTCCTCGAATGAGGCATCCTTACTCAGTGATGCCCTTTTATACACGATGCTGATGGTGGATATAATGATAATGTCCGGTGATAACAACTTGTTTTTCTTCCGGACATACATCATTGCCCACATCGTGCAGAAGCCGGTGTTGTTATCAGCTACCATGTAAGTAATGCAAATAAAAATATATGATTAAAATAAAAAGCCAAGATCTTAATATTAGACATACCTGTGGTGCACAATACCCATTCTGTTAGCAAAAATATGTGAGAAAAATGTGTTTGGTACCTTGTCGGTTAGAAGAATACCAATCATCTGAAGTTTTATAACATTTAATATAAATGTTATGTAACAGTACAGTGTATCAACATTGAGTATGTTCCTTTAAGACAGAAGTTATACATTAGTATTAATTTGTACTTGTAATATTTTACGCTTTATCGTGTTCAGGATGTTCTGCGGTATCGAATAGCATTAAAGTCAGCAGGATCTCCCGGATTATTTCCATCCAGAACCCGTCCTTCCAAGAAAATGGTCGGTAACTGCGGTAACTCACAAGTGTTGATGACTTGGGAAAGCGTAAGGCTATCAAAACTTTAAGGACAGAAAAGCTTTTCCAACAAGGTGCTGATCAATGAAATAGTGCACTCTTGACATTCCAGCCACGTGCAGCTTTCTGTGTCTCACCGTAACATAGATTTATTACGAGTTTCCCATACCGGCTTTAAATTTCGATCTTCTCAACTTCAGCATGCTGAACGTTAGATCTACGTCTAAATTTGCCGTCGAGGAAGACCCTAAGCCACAATATATCGGAAAAGCATGGGCATGGGGCATGTGTTTGAGGTGCTAGAGTATTCATTATTTTTTCACACTTCCTATGAGGATCATAGCTATTTCTAACTTTGATTCTTTTTTCGTCGCATGCATTATCCACAAAGGTCCTCCAACTTTTGGGTGTGGATTCTGCTGACGCTTGAGGATTTTTCTTTCGTTATGTATGTCATTAAATGCTTGTCATGACGATTCTTGCTGGAGTCCATATAGTTGAGCTAAAGCATTCTCACTTGAATTTTAGAGATTGAACCTTTTCCAGATATGTATGGCACCAATTTTTCCATCCTGGAAGTATGAGAGGCCCGGTGAGCCTGAGGAGAGATTGAACCAACACCGTGCCCGTGAAAATCAGCATCCCTACCACTGTGTCACCCTCCCGCTATTCATTTTTACTGTCCCTTAATGATTGCTGCATCTATAGCTGCTATAAACTGCGGTTGATGTTTGATTTTTTATGGATAGCGTTGGTGATTGTCAGATGAAATCGTATGTCACTTTGAGAACCACACCGTAACTTGGTTTACTTGTGAACCTCTCTTTAAACAAACCTTCTCTTGAAGAACGCTGGTATTCAGATTTGTGGGAAGGCCAACATTTTCAGCAGGTAAGCCATTAAACAATAAACCGCCGTCAATACCGAATACAACATCCTGAAAATATTGCTTTAAGAAATAATTGAAAATTTTCGCTCTTTAATCTTCGGTTTGTAAAGCAGTACTGTTTTTGCCAATACTGCTCACTCTGTTCTTGGTTCGATCAAGGCCTTGAGCTAACCAGACCCTTCATCCCTCCATGATTCGTAGCAAATCCACCTACGGACTTATGAAAGCCTTCATCGACATAAAATCCATATTTAATCTTCAACCTTTACAAATTTTGCTGTGTCTTTGAAATGTAACTCTAGTGGAAGCAACGTTACGAAAGATTGTCTATAGATGGACGTACGGCAATGGAAATGCACCATGATCCAAAAATAGAACAAAATAGAATTAACTTGTCTGATGACATTTTTTTAGGTTTTTGCTTTAATGTCTTACCATTTTCAAATCTATAAGACCAGTTAATTTAAGGTTACCTCGTTGCTAAACTTTGGCGGAGAGATAACGTCCAAGTTGACAGTCCAAGTACCAGAAGATGTTGTGTTATTAGTTGGTTCTACCACATTGGCCAATGTAGTAGAAGGCTCGTGAAGCCGTTCAATCTATAAGTTCTAAATAATTCTTAGAAAAATAAGCGTATGTGCGACCATTAAAATCTCGTCCTCAAAGACGAAATAGACCAATTTACGTGAGGATCATGGAATAAAAAGAAGGACAGTACAACAGAAAGATCCTGTTGAATTTATAAACAAGAAAATCTTGAAAAAAAACCTTCCTCGCAAAGGCTCGCTCCAAATTCTACGGGATTAAATGCGAAATCGGCTGATGTTGCAATGGTGGATGCTGTGAAGCCGTCCATTGACTATAATAGAACAAAAATTCGTCTAAATGATGCGAAAAAGTCTAAGGATTAATTCGCCCAATAGAAAAGCCGTGTTTTATTTAGGCTGTAATCTGCCAATTATCTGCTAGAAGTCTAGATTTTACGGAACATCAGCTCAAGTGTTCTATATAATTTACCACCTCATCGCACCCATCGAATGCACAGAACGGTTGCCGTGCTAGGAAAATTTCGGCTACGACAGAGCCCGACAGATGAACTAGGACTATCTTTCCGTCGTAAGCAAACGGTGAGAATACAGTGCTTCATGTAAAAAACTTGCAGTTCTCCGTATCCTTTGTGCCTAAGGATTCCAATGGGAAGGTTTAGCATAAGGCAAGGATTCCTGAAGAGTTTACTGCTACCAGCTCACGTTACTTGATCCTTGACGGGTTTACAGGTAAGAGGAAAAACAAGAATGACTAGAAAGACCTGTATCTCTTGAGCGTCAACAAACTTTACGGCATCCAGAATAACTTCGCAGATTTTCGTTTTTACAGCGTCAGAGATCTGAATTAAACCAAATTACCAAACAAGGTAAAATTACTACACTAGGTTGACTTTCAATATGATCTTTGCTCATTAGTATTTCTTCTGTCCTAAGTTGGAAAAGGATGGTGAATTTTAAAACTCCATAAAAGAAGATGGGTTTCCCGAAAAACCTTCGGGAAAGCAAACATCCATTCGCGTGTAAAAGTTAACTGATTTTGTCTAATAATGCTAGATAAGGTTATTTGCTTTTACAACACACGGTTGACTGTAATATTCCTTGAACCATCATCAGCAATGAGTCCTGGTCAAGTAGAACTGTGACGTTGGAATGTGTTGTTTCGCAGTGAGGAACCTAAACCGATTGAATTTGTGATGGACTATTTCATTTATTGGATATCATATGCTTTCAAAATTTCTATAAACCTGTAACGGAATTTTTAGACCTTTTGACCTACACGGAAGGTTCTTGCCTAAAAATGATATCTATCTATGAGAAAAAGCACATCATTAACAGAAACAATGAAATGGTGCTTTTTCTCGTACATAATGCTGAGATATTTGCAAAACTCCGGACCGCAGGTATGTGCGGTAAGGAACGAATGCGCGTTATTGTCCTTTCCGGGGAGTAGCGCACTTCACCACCACACTATCCGGGTCCTTCGTTTTGCCTGCCTCTCAGCTAGTTCTATTGATCTTTTGCCATCAGCTTTTGCCAGCTTCGTTCCCTACTACATACACCTGCGGTCCGGAGTTTTGCAAATATCTCTGCATTATATACGAGTTATATTTCGCAACATACCCTGCCATTAAAAAGAAAAAGGCACTAAATAAAAGGGTTAAGATGGTGTTTTTCTTTCCATCTGTTCTAATACTTCATCTTGAATATCGCAATCCTCCCCACGGTATGCCACCTCATAGTGGCTGGGAGGTGTTTCTGGGTGTCGGACTGCGATGTACAGCGAGGGATTCGTCCTCCCGTCAGGATCTGTCAAGCTGTGAAGGAGTCCGCGTTTCTCATCACGAAGCCTAGCTAAGAGTAAACCAATACCAGGTTCCACCACCGTCCTGGTATCAAAGTCGCATGGTGGTAAATCTTTCTCTGATCCACAAGGGCTGCGACTGCCTGTTGTGGTGAAGACCTGGAGCAGACTTTGTCCAAGCTGACCTCGGGATTCCAAGGAACCAACATGGCTTAGCCAGCAATTCTCCGAAAAGTGGTGATTATGCTGGGGTCCGCACAACCAGTGAGAACGGGCCGTTCAACTATCAATTATCAAGAATATCGCAATATTCGAATCATTCGGCTGATAACTTTTTCCGCGTGTCAACCTGCTGTTTCAAAGATTTCTTCGAAGGATTTTACAAATTCTTATTATTGTGCCACACATCAGGATCATTTCTTTTGTTGGTTAGTTCAAAATAACTGAAAAATATCAAGTCGCTTCATGAGTTGCCAAAATTCCTCTTGAAGAAAATTAGCCTTCTCCTTCAAAACATTGTAGTTCAAGTAGAATTTAATGTTTACTTCGAAAACAAGTGATCTTTTAATTATTAATTCTTCCTCAAATATCGATTGACGCGTGAGATCACACTTGCCTCGATGATATTTGTACCGGAAGATTCATTTCTACTTATATGCAGCTCCAAATCGACAGTGAAATTATGTAGTTCGACAACAAAACTTCCTATAACGAAAGAATTCTGTCGAAAAAAAACAAACGACAGACGAGCTCGTTGAAATTGAAGCTTCCAGAAAAAATCAAAAATGCAGCTGTTATTAAGAAAAATCGGATCCTCTTAAAAAAGACCAGAAGATATGTGTCATTGTTTTTATGGCGCTAAAATATAATAAATAAAATCGCGGCACAAAATGTTGATAAACAGTAGCCGCTACGATGTAAACATGAGCTCCCCGTACTGATTCACTCTCAACGGTACCGTAGCTTAAAGAATTTGTTTAGGAAAAAAGCAATAAGGGATACAAAAAACCCCAAAACCCCAGAAACTTGAAGGAAAATGTGAATTTAGCATGTGAAAGTTTTTGGTGTAAACATTTCTGTTGTTCATGCAGGAGAAATTTAAGGACTTCTGTCTAGATTTAACATGGAGTTAAAAATTCAGCATTCTAAAAGACTGTAATGAATCAAATGCCCTTCATTTCACTAATAAAAAACTATTCAAAGTAGTGCAAAAAACTAGAAAAAATCGATACCAACCATCAAGTGGGATAAAGTAGTCGACAGCGCAATCGGCACTTGTTCTCAGGAACGGTAAGCTCACATTCGCTCGCACACCTAAGTCGTGTCTTACTGTCATCCAACCAATCAGTATTTGACAACATTGTCGATTTGAAAGGTTGATCACCTTTATCGAATATTGGACAACTGTGTTAATTCGAGACAATGATTACTATGTAGGCAAAACCAATCCTCGATTTTTGACTATTTCACGTCTTTTTCACGACTGGAAGGTATGTTGCACTAAAAAAGCATTACATCATTTTAGCATTCCACTTACCTTTATCGCGGACGAACTTTGCTTGAATTGCTGGTCTTTCGACTCTGTTGATGTGGATTTTTGAAATTGTAGCTAAACTGACTGATACATCTGGCAGGTGCATGTTGTTGAGAATTTGAGGCATTGCATCGCTCGCCAGCTCTAAAATGAAAGCAATATTCTTGAAGTATTTGATGCTTTTTGTCTCAGTCTGAAAGTTCAACTGACAGTAAACCAAAGCCTAGATCGTGTTCGAGTTTTAGTCAAAAGTTAAAAAATCACCTGAACCCATAGCTACCGACCAGGTCCTGAAAACTTGAATATTTCAGGAAAACACGTGCCCAACCAACAATCAGCATGCCTACTAGGATAGAAGATGACAGATCTTCCATTCGTGACCAGCCCACCAAAGGATAGGATCACCTCCAGAGATTACGGCTACTGCTCGAAAAGTAGAAGTAGTGAGGCCTACACAGTACTTGGAAGCAAACAGTTTAACTGCCTTCGTATCCATATGAGTTACTCAACTGCCATAAAACTTTCTTCGATTAGAGTAAAAAAATCTGTGGAGTGCTGAAGAAGGAGACGTTACTGCATTCGTGACGTATGCGATGTGATTCGCACTCTGCTCCCGGAATGAGGAAAGACTTTTATCATTCTGGGAAATCGACTGATGAATAGCAGCCCATCTGCTAGAAATATTAGGATTGTACTAAACTCATCATTATCGCAAAAGAATTGCTACTATCCTAGAAGAAACCTATTGGCTAGGCGCTGAAATTCCTTCCCAATCGTTAAGCGCGCTGATTACTTGTGGTGATGGTGATCTGGTAAGTTCCAATGCGATAACTTCAGAGCTCTGAAGAAATTGTCCTGTCAACAGAATGCCAAGGAAGTGGAGTTAATCATAGATTCTTCAACAAGCGCGAAAATAGGCCATTCAAAGAATAAATCCATGCTGTTCTCAGGAATGTTGAAGAGTAATGGAATTCTTCAAATTATAAGCGTTAGAAATACTTTTCCACATGAGCTATCAAACTTGTCACAAAACTTAGCCACTAGTTGAAAACTTGTTTTCGATGTTTCATCCCATTACGCCGGCAGATTGGGGTATTCTTCTAGTACTTCTTTGTATGATTTGCATTGCTCATTAAGTAAGCTCACCGGTTATGTAGTCGACAGCTTTTTGATTGACACGGAAATAAACACCGGCATTTCGATGGTGCTGATTTACTTGAATACTCCGAGCGTCGTAAACGAGGAATAGAAGCACCGTCCAGTACGGTGGCATGACACGGCTATGGCTTGTTCTGTGGCTGGTCGCACGCCTGCCCTCTTATGTTTATGTAAACTTGCCGTCATCTAGCAAATGGCGACTATGGAACAGACACCCACGACCAGATGCAGAATCGAACACAGAGTCGTCGAACCCTCAAAGCTAATCGACTATCCAGAAACGTTATTCGTTTGCAATGTTATTGCATGGTTGACATTCTTGTTGATGGCACTATTGTAAACATAATAATGAATTCACTCTAAGACAGTGAGCTTGTTATTTTGCATACCATTGGCTAGGAAAATGTTCTGGACATTCATTAAGTTCACAAAGAAAAGACTAATTCCTGCTAAGCTATAAAGTAACCGGTAAACCCACGGGAGAGGGAAACTCGTGTTGTACGAAAACAGACTAGTCAAAACATAATTTTACTTCTGAATTTCAAAGCCTTTAGGCATATCTATTTTTCATTTTACTAGATAACATAGGCTTCATAACGAAGTTTTTAAGGTTTTCTTCGACACTGTTTTAGCTTGTCCATGAAAGAATCGATGTTGATTAGCCACACCGACGTTAAATGAAACTAGGTTTTTGAAATATTATTACGTTCTCCGCCAGCCGGTAAAGATACCGACTGCAGAACGATAGAAAAACAAACCATAATCAACGGACATTCAGTACAGAAACAACATCATTGTATAAAAGAGCGCTGCTGAGTGACGATACTTCAATCGAGCGGTACTCCACTAGATTTAGCCCGATGTCATCATGAAGACCTACATGGAAAGAGGAAACTATGGACAATCGACCCGGTTAAATTAGGGCTGTAGAATGCGAAGGCACCGAAACATTGACCGAATAAAGCTTTTTTTATATTAAAACCCATGCTATTTCATCAATAAAAAAATACACGTGGGTTATTTCAGAAATCGATTTTCCTTTCCTTTTTTTTTCCTCGGTACGACTAGTCAATACGTATTTTTTCACTAATAATCTAAGACGAGGATGACAAAACACTTCATTCGGCCAATGGCTCGCTACCTCCTCTTTCTTCAGAGCGAGATCGATCCGCTGGTTGTTCCTTCTTCCGATGTAGGTCTCCGTGATGCCATCGAACGAATGTGTACCTACTGGGATGATCGGGTTCGAAGAAGACGAAGGCGTGGAAACGTTAGCCAAATAGAGTTCTTATTGACTCCGCTTTAGGTCATCAGTGAAGGAGCACATGTTGTTTAGTCACACAGAGGTAAATAAAAAATAGGTATCCAGTATGACAGCTATTATCTGTCACAACGCATAGTTGTGGATGTTTTCGTTTGATTATCCCGGAACGATTTCGCATTTCAAATGAGTGCCGAAAAAATAGATTGCTTTCCTAGCAAAGACAATAAGCACTATGCCATCTGCAAATTCCCTTGTGGATTACTGCTCTTACTGTAACTTATTTCAGCAGTTCTACGGATTTGAATGAACGAAAGTTAGAGGAGGAGGTGAATGGTTTTGATAAATTCCTTGGCAACTCTTTCGGCTTTATCAAGCATCAAATGCATCCGGCTTAAGTATTGTATAGACGGCTCCTAAATCAATGATGTTTGTGTCGTTTTCTCGTTCAGCAATCGCGAGGTTTTTAAACAGCATACATTTACTTCCATAGAAAAACACAATACAATACAATGCTAGCTGACGTTTCGGCAGTATCGCCTTCTTCAGAGCCGCCGTGTCGTCAACCACATGCGACTATAATCAGCCGTTCTAAACTTCCTCATTGGAAGTCACGAAAAAAAGCGGCTCTGAAGAAGGCGATACTGTCGAAACGTCAGCTAGCGTTGTATTGTATTGTGTTTCTCTATGGAAGTAAATGTATGCTGTTTGAAAACCTCGCTATTGCTGAACAAGAAAACGGCGCATTCATATTCCAATGCCGAGGTTAATAGAAAGTCGATCCTGGCAACTATCAATGATGTTTATTAATTCTTTAGTACGACATCTTGGCGCGGTTAAAAACAATAATTTAAATTTTGCTGGTTTTTAAGAATGATTTAAAAAACAGATTTCCATGGTTTAAAATTTATTCTTTGTGAAAACATTTCTGTTATCTACTAAGGTGTTTAATTCCTTTTAGGCAACTAGTTTAAGCAGGATTCTTGCCGTTCGAAATCCTACACGTGAATCGAGTTTCAGAATATAACTCGTATATAGTGCTGAGATATTTGCAAAACTCCGGACCATCCGGGTAGTGTGGTGGTGAAGTGCACTGCTCCCCGGTAAGGACAACAGCGCGTGTTCGTTCTCCACCGCATACACCTGCGGTCCGGAGTTTTGCAAACATCTCAGAATTATATACGAGTTATATTTCGCAACATACCCTGCCATTAAAAGAAGAAAGGCAGTAAATTAAAGGGTTAAGAATTTCAGAATTTTAACAGAACAGCAAATTTAGCCTTTATTTCCGACAAAATGGCTCATCATTTAGATTTGACGTTCAAACAACACGCAGGAATTCGCCGCCGGATTCGTTGTCGCTTCCTAAATTTGTTATAAAGAAATATTTTTTACACATCGAATAGATTATTATAGCAATAAAAAACTATAAGTGGTTAATGTTCGGCACTTAAATACTTGGATTGGCCGTCTGCTCAAGGATTGAGATGAAATAGATCGAAAGGCTATTTCTATGGAAGGCTTAGTGAGCCTGAGTTGCCAGATGCAACAATCGAGCGATTGACTATGTCTTTTAAAGCACGTCTATCCACCGCGCTACAAGTTATCATAGTATAAGCGCATGCTACTCCCAATATGGTGAAACGCTTGCTATCAAATGACTAGAAATAGGATCGAAGTGTCCTTTAGCAAAAAATTCCAACGTCCCTCAGCGAATGTTCGGCAACTTCCCCGTGAATATGAGAAAGTAGGTGAAATTCGAACACACGACATGAACAAATGCTCGTTTTCATAGCAACCGCACCTATCACCGGATCTTCGTGATTCGAAATGTTTCACTATTAGCCATTGTGAAATAGGCTTTATATGCCTTCTCATTTCGAATTTTTAAACCGAACCGCCAATAAGATTCTTAACTATGCCGGCTTTCTCAGTAGTTTGATTCGCTCCACCGTTTCTAGTCGTCTCATCTAAAAAAGTTCTCATTTCCAAGAAATAAATTTTTAAAATACTTATTGCCGGGAACTTGGAAGAAATATGTCGTCCCGGTTATCTCGGTAGTTCCATTGCTAGTACCGCTTACTGTGGTTTCACCTCAAAATTGGGGAATTCTTATTTGCCATTATTATATTTTCGAATGTTGAATATGTGGTCAACTATTACTTTGCACTATACGACACACATGTGGAATCGATCTCCGCGCCCACCAAGCCTTCGATCCCACCGGGGTCGGCAAATTGGTGCCAGAGTTGTCTGGGAGGATAGCAGCATTGGTCCGATACATCGGTATACCACCGCGAGTCATTTTAAAGGCCAGATATGCATTTAATCACTTCCAAACAATGCTTGATGAAGTCGAAAATACGACTCATCCCTGAGAGATTAATCAACGCCGAGAGCTTTCGATTTTTTATGCAAAGTCGACTACGAAAAACGTTATCATACCAGTAATTTCGATAGTTCCATTGCTACTGCTTCTCCTAGTGGTTTCACCTGAAGTCAGTCAAAACCACACATTTTTTTAAACAATTTTTTGTTGTCTTTTCATTATTAAACTTCTAGTAAGTTAACTTTCTACACCCTCATAATGACATGATAATAAAGGAATTTATGTACCGGTTATCTCTGTAGTTCCATTGCTCCAGCCAACTGTAGTGGTTTCACCTGGAATATTTGAAAACTGTAGTTTTTACGTAATTTTTTTCGTCTTTACAAATATAAAATTTCTA